GGAGCAGGAAAGCTGACATTTCGGGTTGGGACCCTTCTTCAGAAAAAAGGGTCCTGACCCGAAACGTCAGCTTTCCTGCTCCTCTGATGCTGCCTGGCCTGCTGTGTTCTTCCAGCTCCACACTCTGTTAACTCTGACTCCAGCAATCGGCAGTTCTCACTATCTCACTATTTAGTTCAAATCTTTTTCTTGATCTGCAGCATTCATTGGTAACCCAGTTCTGCTTTGTGTCCCACAGTGGGGGGGTTCCTGGCTGGCTTCCCATTCAGTTCGATTGCCAAGGTTTACAGCTGGGACATGGCGTTCTGGATCGCGGAGGTCACCTGCGCTGTCACCACGGTGGCCTTTTTCCTGCTGAGAAACATCCGGACCAAGATGGGCCGCCTTCCCAAAAAAATTGACTGAAATTCAGCCACACTCACCCAATAGAGAGCCTGCTGCTTGTCATCATATTGCTAAAGGCCTACGAGGGAGTGGTTCTGATGTCCCCACTACTGCGAGTCCATTTTCAGCAAATCCCATCACTAAATTTCCCTTTTCCACATCTACATCTCCGACCCCTTCGCCCTCTTTGCTGTGCGAGGTTCAGCTATTTATCCAAGATATTCAAAGTGTATCCGGGCTGCGGGTCAGAAATGACCTGGAAAATTTCATTCTTCTTTGTGTTAAAAGATGACAGTGTTTCTCCTTCTTCCAGTTCAGTGGTTTGGTTGGTCATGTTAAGGTTGGCCTGGACTTTATTGCAGTCGCTACTAGCGTGCACACTACCACCGGCTGTAACAGGAGCTAGGAAGCATTGAGAGTGGGAGAGGCAGCAACATAACAGCAAAGGGTGAATGGGAGGATGCAGTTGTCAAGGTGGATTTCCGTAGGACCCCATCACCAACATCACTTAAACTGCTTGCTGTCTTCCATTGTCTTGGAAGACGAGTTATCACATCTAATGATGCATGAGGAGCGTAGACTTTTGTTTGCCTTCAATAGCTTGCTTTTCCTGCCAGAGGCTGTAGCTTGGGGGTGACCGTACCTCAAAAGCCTGACTGTGTTGGAGCATCTCCTCCTTTTACTGCCTGCTGTAGGTATTTTAGAGAGATTTTTAGATTAAGTCTCAGAAGGGGAAGAAATAGCAAGCCTTGGAAATGTCACCTTGTGTAACTAATGGAATGCAAGAATGACCAATGCATTCACTCTTCCTCTTAATCAAATTTTTCCCTTCTTAATCAACCTGTTTTGCAGCATTCCCTGTGGTTCTCAAGCCCTGGGGTAAGAACTGAACCCCAGGCTTCTGGTTCAGAGACAGGGATGCTACCACTACACTACAAGACCTCCTCTCTGTAATCCTGCTATTGTTTTAAAATACGTCTTCTACTGACTCTAGTGGACTCTAATCTGTACCCCACAGTGGAAAACCCAGCAGCCATGGAGTTTGTAGATCATGCGTAAGAATTACCTTGTTACCTAACTACATTACAGCCAATGAAGTATAATTGCTGTTGTAACGTAGGACCAGGTGATCATATCCACAAGGGTCAAAGATCAACAACACAACTAACAATAGAACCTCGTACTGATGTGCTTCATTCAATATGTCCCAGTTAAGATTTGATGATTGGTCCTGAAAATGGTAACTCTCAATGCAGGAGATAAATGTTGTAACTTGTAGATCACATGATGTAATCTTCAGGATTGTCTCCATGGTGTCTTGTGTATTTTATTTCTGGTTCTGGTGTCTTCACCCTGTGTAGTCTGTGATTAGAACACGCACTGACATCAGATAGTATAATGACTCTCAGTAATGTGGGAACAGAATTTTTTTAAGCTCAGCTGGTGAGCCATTACCCATGTGATATGACAGCAGCTTCCTTTTGGTGAGTTTTTCCTTTTGTTGCCAGTCCCATTCAAAATTTCCTCCCAGTCTGTTCTCTCAACTTTTTATTGAATAAAGCTTATTAACCACATTCTGTTCTTCCTGGTGGTCAACTATCTTAAAGGACAAAAGAAAACATAATCAATTACATTTCAACAGTGATACAGATGAATGCTGTGAAGTACCATTACGAAAAGAGTGTGTGTTTACGTTGGGATTATAGTTGGATACAGTGTACTGGATGACGAGCTTAGCTCAAAATTTGTCATATTAACAGTTAAGTGAAATATGTGCAGTTGTTTCAAGAACCATCTGACCACACAGGAAGGATTCAAACACTAATTATAACCATTGCAGACAAGTGGCATTTCAACTACAGCAAGTAGTTACCTAGGGCCGTGCAATCACAGCCTGTACTGGTTAAAGGTATTTGGAGTAACTAAGGCTCCATTCATATCATCTTACTTTTGTGGTTAGTTCATTTGGCCCCCATATGGAACAACCTTTTCCTTTTTTACAAGATCTCAGTTGGCACACCATAGTCTGTACCGGAGAGAAGCCAGACATTCTGCCCCACAGCTGCTGTCAATAGTATGCTTGTGTTGTACAGCTGGCAATTGAAAGCGGTGCACAGTGACTCATCTTCCAATGCTTTCCTCAATGTAAAGCAGTTGAACCTCTATTCTGCATCTCTTCCGTTGCTGAGATCGAGTCTGAGGGGGGTGGATTCTGGCCTGATTGCTTAACCTATCCAGGGTACAAATGAATGACAGTGCTGAGATACTTGGGTACAGAGGTGGATTCTCAAATCTGTCTTGGTACAATTGAACACTATTTACATTAAACGTTGTGAGGGTGGCTGGGTAGAGTATCAAATCCTGTTGTTGTATATCGTAGCAATAACTTTAAAGAGACATTTGTACTCCTAGATTCGAATTTCCACGTTGATGTAGTTAATTAAAATTGTATGCTAATGCTGTTTTAATTCTTAAATTATGCTTAATTAGAATAGGATTCAATGTTTTAATCAATGAAAATGTAGTTAAGTTCTTAATGTTTGATTCATGTATTAAACAAAAACAGAAAACAATAGTCAGTGTCTTAAAGTAATACCAGCTGCTGTCACAATAGGTAACAGTACTGAAACATATCCTTTTACTGGAGTGAGGTGCAAGAGGAAAGATGGTGGCCGATCCAAAATAAAAATGCACTTTTAAAATAATTCAATGTGAATAGCAACTAATAATTATATCTTAAACACATACGTGAACCAACTCAGTATTTTGAGTGTAGCTTCCAGACTGCAATATGCACTGGTGAATGTAGTAATCTGTTCAGTAGAGCCTGTGCGAAGTGTCAGAGCCAACAGCCTTCACTGAGGCTTGAATAACAGAGTCTTCTATAACAGAGTCCTGCAGCCAAGAGCTGAGAAAAGTTTACTTCTATGACTGTTTTGGAGCTCAGACTGCAGTATGAATCAAGTACATTACAAGGTGCTGGAAATTACAATCCCAATTACAATCTTGCACTGCCCTTGAATCACTTCCAAACAGGGGTATATTTTAAACTGCATGACATCCTTCAACAGAATAGACATTTTCAGATCAATCTGTCCACCAATGTTATTACAAGTGTCTGGAGAGAATGAGACTTGAACCCAGGCCTCCTACTCCAGAGGTAGGGATACTGCACTACAAGAATTTCTACAGACATGGGTCATCTCTGCATAGAATGGAAGTCAGCTGTCCACAATCACTGGAGTACAAGAGAAAAATGACCCCCATGTTATGGAACTGGGACAGTGATTTGCAACAATTTTGAGCACTACAGCTTAGTTTAGTATTGACTAATTGAGTACTTGGAGAATTACACTCTGTCATGATATAAAAATATCCCAGTGATTGTGATCAGACCAAATGCTCTAGAATTATAACCACTGCTGTTTGGACACAGTTCAGTCTCACAATTCAGCTTAATTAGTGAATATGGAGTACAATGAAGTACTTTTTTTAATGGAATAAAAATCAACGTGACAATGTGTTGAATTTAAACAAGATATTAAAAAGCTTTTATAATAAAACAGGTCTATGCGTGTTGGTACTTCTACCTCGGTACAAATAATTTTTTATTAAAAGAGAATTTGTGCCCATCAGGATGTTGAGGAATGAAAAGATTTTCCATATCAAAGTTCCCAGGGTAAGTATCAAGCACTCAGTTCAGGTCTCGTCACAGAATTGGCAGGGCACAGGAGGCCATTTTGCCCATCACGCCAACACCAACTCATTAAAAGAGCATCATGACCTATCTCCTGCTTTATCCCCGTATTCTTGCACACTATTTGTATCCAAATCATAATCCAATACTGTCTTGAATGCCTCAATTGATCCTGCCTCCACCATGCTTCCTGGCAGTGCATTTCATCACTAGATACAGAGGTGGTGAGACTTTCATTCATGTTCTTACCTTAATATTTGACTGTTCCCATGAACTCCCTTGCTGATATCCCATATTCTATCAACTATAAACTTTGTTATCTAAAATCGTGCAGTTTATGTTTTACCTCATCTGAAATCCTGTTCCTCTGACAGCTTCGTGTTCACCAACATGGCTTCTAGTTGAGCGCCATCTTGATTTTAAAGTCTTATCCCTCTTTCAGGTTGTCCCTCTATTTCCGTGATCTCATCCAGCGCCATTAAAATTACTCCACTCATTGCCTCTTAAGCATACAAACATTTGAGAACAGGAGTAAAGGTGAAGTGACCATAGTCTGACTGGACCATTAGCTTCTCTCTCGTTAGACAGAAATGACGGGTGGTGGTTTAACCTGAGGGTCATCACACCTCAGGTGAGGGGAGAGGTTGAGAATGGAAGTCCTTTATAATAACCTCAGCCAGTGTGGGAGTTGAACCTGAGCTGTTATTGTCATGTGTATAGCAAACCAGCCATCCAAGCTAACCAACATCACTCCCCCGCCGCCACCACCACCCCCACCCCCCCCGCACCAAACCCGACAGCAGGAATAGTAGGCCGTTCAACACCTTAAGGTTTCCTCTGCTGTTGGATGAAATCATGGCTCGTTTGACTATGGCCTCAACTCCACCTTCCTGTCTACCACAATTATCTTTCAACTCCCTTGTCAGTCAAGTATCTACCTATCCCTACCTTAAGAATATTCAATGATCTTGTCTGTCTTGGACTCTGAGGATGACTCAGGGTTGTGAATGTGGAATGGAGAGAAAAATGTTTTCCACTTAAATGGGAGATCCCTTATTTTTAACCCCCCACCATAGTTCCCAGTCTCTTCCACAAAGCAAAAACATCCTTTCAGCCTCAATTCTGTCAGATCCCTCAGAATCTGATGCTTTCAGCTGCATGGGCATCATTACCTACTGAGCACGAACTTTGCAATACCATAGTTTCCTCCTTTCAGACCCTGTATAAAATCTTCCTCTTGTGCCACAGTGTCCCTACCTCTGATCCAAGAGTCCTGGGTTCAAGCCCCATCTGCTATGGATGTGTGTCATAACAGGTTGACTAAAATAATTAAAGCCTCTCCCTTTAACCAGGTTTTTGTGGACCTCTGGTACAGTATCGCCTCCTGTCGCTCAGTGTCATACTTTGTTTTGAAATGTTCTTTTGAAACCCCTTGGGACAATTAGTTACATCAAAAATATTATGTACACCTTGTAGAATGAAATGGCCTTTACAATGCCCTAACAATGTGTCTCCTGTATCCTCAGCAGAACAGCACACTGAGGTAGCATCCAATCCATATCTATCCAAGCTAGCCCGTCAGTAACAAACCTCGGGACAGCTTTGAAATCTTGCAGAGTGGATGAGAGACTGTGTGGATGGGTGCCCCAATATTTTTCAAACGACGGCAGCTGGCAACTGTGCCTTATCCACCTTCTTCCATCACGCTGGCACCTCAGAACTCTAGGCACGATGCACCAAGAGATCAGGGTCTTCCCTGAAAGCAAAGGGAGTGAAAGAGCTCTAACCCAAGCAGTGAGTTCATATCAGAACCTGCTGCTGACAGTGTAAGACCACAGAAGCTGTAGTTTACCAAAATGGAATGGTGTAATTTCAGAAAGCACACCCAAAAGTTTCTGCTGAGAAGGAAGTCCTGCCGAGTGCAGTGTCCTTAGTGAGCAGCCTGGGAGGAAGTAGCAAGTGCAGACTTTTCCCATCGAATGCCTGAATTCCATTAGGCTAAACCAATCCCAAATACAAGGACAGGAATAAAACCTTGATAAAAAAAAAACTCAGTCACGCTCTGAAGCTTGTCCTTCATTGCTACTCACACTTGTCTCTCCTACCCTGGGAACAGTACAGGAAAGAACAAACTCTCCTTGCTGGAATGGGGAGTTAAAAACAAATTTCTCGTTTTCCAAAAGGTTCCTTTCAGCAGACCGATTCTATACCCAGCACTAAGTTCAATGCAATACTCAGCCTACGCCAATGTTTAGATAATCTTTTATTTCTTTTAAACTGTAAATTATTACATTCCCTCCCATACTTGTAAAATGTGCCTCAGTAGCACAGCCAAGGAATTGGTATATGGTTCACAAAATAATCATTCAATATAGTATCACTAACTTTGATAGGAACTCATCAATGTAATAGTTTGAAATCCATGTGACAGGATTCCACATTTACTTCTTGAACCCAAAGCCATTGTCCTAACAGAAATGTATCGTACACACTCCTGTAACTGCACCACAACAGCCTTTACTCCTGTCACAGGGTTCCTGAGCAAAAGCCCAGTGATGGCATTTCCGGTGGGTCAGCCAACAGACGACAGTTACAGATTCCAGTCATGAGGTTAGGATTGTGAGAACGAGGTTGCAAAGCTAAGTGTGCAACTTGGGCAGGTCTTCTGTTCCTTCAGCCACAGGGAGATACACTGTATCCAAGAAGAAATACAGAGAACACATAATGAGGAAATATTGCAAATATCTGCAAAGCATTTACAGCATGAAAACAAACCATTCAGCCCAACATAGACTCATACAGCATGGAAACAGACCCTTCGGTCCAACCTGTTCATACCAACTATAATCCCAAACTAATCTAGTCCCACCTACCTCTGCTTGGAGAATAGAAAACAATCAACTGATGGAGCTGAAGAGAGAGTGCAAGGTAGGGTAGAGTAGAGACAAATTCACCACAGTCCTTCCAGACCATAGGGCTGCTATGCCATTAGAAAGAGAGAGAGAGAAACGACTGGTGGTGGTTTAACTTGAGGGTCAACCATGTCTCATGGTGAGGGGAGAGGCTGACAAGGTGGGACCTTCATGGTAACCATGAGAATTGAACCCACTCTGTATCAAACCAGCTGTCTGGCTTATCAGCTCCCCAGGCAAGGGCACAGGCTAAGGACACAGGTTTCCTTTACTCATTCACGGGATGAGGGTGTCGCTGGCTAGGCAGCGTTTATTGCCCTAATTGTTATGAGTCACCCACATTGCTGTGGGTCTGGAGTCACATGTAGGCCAGACCAGGTAAGGATGACAGTTTACCTCCCTAAAGGACCTTGTTGAACCAGATGGGTTTTTTCAACAATGGATTCATGGTCATTAGATTCTTAATTTGAGATATTTTTATTGAATACAAATTCCACCATCTACCATGGCAGGATTCGAACCCAGGTCCCCAGAATGTTGTCTGGGTCTCTAGATTAACAGTCCAGTATTAATACCACTAGGCCATCGCCTCCCCACACTCCTGTAACTGCACCGCAAGAGCCTTTACTCCTTTGAAAGATCTGACTGAACATAAGGATCAAAACAGCCAAATTGTTTACATTCTCTATTTAATCTCCATCTCTATTAAAAACAACAATTCTTTCCCCACTGGTTATGGATACAGTCCTTGGTCATCACAGCTCAGTAGCCTTTCTTTGAACATGCACGGAGCCACTGAGCATCAAAAAACTACTACACCATGAAGAATGTAACAACAGGGTTTGGACCTATTCTCATCAAAAACCACAGCCCTGCTGCTCCCAGAGAGGGTTACTGTTTCAGCGAGCAAGGACGGGAACTCCATTCTTTTGTGGGGTGTGGGCATAGCTGGGCAAGGCCAGCATTTACTGCCTAATTTCCTTTGATCTGAATTGTTTCCTAAGCTATTTCGGAGGGCAATTAGAGTCAAACATATTGCTGTGGATGTGGAGTCACACAGTCATGATGCCGCTAGCTCCCCATTTCCCTACAATAAGGGGTACACAGATGGCAATCATTAACAAGAACTTAGCAATGAACTTCTTTTTAATTCATTCGAGAGCCTTGGGCAGGACTGACTAGGCCAGTACTTACCTAATCGTTAAGAGTCTACCACATTACTGTGGGTCTGGAGTCAGACCAGGCCAGACCATCTAAGGATGACAGACTTGCTTCTCGAACAAGACTTCTATGAACTATATCAGTTTTTACAACAAATCAGCAGTCGTTTCATGGTCACCAGACTTTCAAAAAATTTCACCATTTGCCCAATGGTGGGATTCGAAGCCACGTCCACAGAACATTAGCCTGGGGTTTTAGGTTATGAGTGGTCATTACCACAATCTGCCCTTGGGCCTTTGCTGATGTGTGCGGCACTGGGCTAGAATTTTTTGATCAGGCCTCCCTCCAGATTGGGCTGGAGGAGGGTATTTTGGGGGGGGTGGGGGGATTGTTGGAATTGGCATTGCTAACCTCTCGTCAGCTTTTTGTCTTTAATTCCCTGGACACTGAACAGGCCGGAGGAGTGAAATGATTTGTTCATGTTCCCATTGTCCTATGGTCTATATTTGGGTTAGTTACTCAGTGTGGGGACAGGGATGGGCATCTTGGTACCACCATAGCTCTGGCACCTTCTGGGAACGAGATCAACCTGTGTTTCCCCACACACTCAGTATACAGTGACACGGTGCTAGGAAGGGGTACCTCTGGAGGGGAGGGTTAACTGGACTGGGACCCCTTCCAAAGCTGAATAGTCAGCTATTCAGGCCAGTCCTGTATCAAACCACAATCCAATTAGAGAGTCAGTGCCTGCAGGAGAGGAGGAGATGAGAGTAGAAAGATCAAAAGAGCCCGATCCTTTACCTCTCTGTGGTATTTGTGTCCACATTTCATTACAAAGAGACGACTGGTGGTGAGTTCCTCCTGGCAAATCACACAGGGATCTTCATCCTCCAAGGAAGCAAGGAACACGTTAAGCAAGGTGCTGACAGGTCATTCACACCATCACAGATTATCACTGTATTATACAAATCTCAGCACAGCATGCCATTAAGCCACTGTGACCATCCTATGTTGTGAAAACTGCATGTTTTCTTTTTGGAAAATAAACTGAGAAAACTAGAAGTTTGCACACAGCTGCATTGCAGAGAACATACTGCTTGCTTCACATTCGAGTCAGAGAGTCATAAAGTTATACAGCACAGAAACAGACCCTTCAGTCCAACAAACCTATGCCGACCAGATATCCTAAATAAATCCAGTCCCATTTGCAAGCATTTGACTCATATCCCTCCAAACCCTTTTATTCATATACTCCTTCAGATGCCTTTTAAATGTTGTAATTGTACCAGCCTCCGCCACTTCCTCTGGCAGTTCATTCCATATACGCACCACCCTCTGCGTGGAAATGTTGCCCCTCAGGTCCGTTTTAAAACTTTCCCCTCTCAACTTAAACCTATGCCCTCCAGCTTTGGAATCCCCCAGCCTGGGGAAAAGACCTTGACTACTCATCCTATCCATGCCCCTCATGATCTTATAAACTTCTCTAAGGTCATCCCTCAGCCTCCCACACTCCAGGGAAAATAGCCCCAGCCTATTCAGCCTCTCCCTATAGCTCAAACCCTCCAACCCTGGCAACATCCTTGTGAATCTTTTCTGCACCCTTTCAAGTTTCAGAACATCTTTCCTATAGCAGGGAGACCAGAATTGAACACAGTATTCCAAAAGTGGCCTAACCAATGTTCTGTACAGCCATGACATGACGTCCCAACTCTTTCACTCAATGCACTGACCAATAAAGGCAAGCGTACCAAATGCCTTCTTCACCAACCTGACTCCCTCTGACTCCACTTTTAAGGAAATATGAACCTCGAAGATTAAAAACAGTGGAACTGTGGGGTGTTCACATTTTTTTTTTTTTTTTACACAAGATCACAACTCTTGCAGGATCTGGCTTTGATACTAGGTGCCCTTCGGTTGAAAAGCTGCCTAGCAACAGCTTTCAGATTTTTAAGTTGCAGTTCGTCATTCATCTGAATAGGTCAGTTGTACCTGGACTTCCAGAAATCCCGCGAGGAAATATGGGCCTATTTCTCACCCTCTGAGTGGGAACAAAAAAACAACACTCAAAGACTCTGAAATGAAGCACTTCCAACTCAAGCAAAGACCTAGGTCCAATTGACCAACCACCGAATTAAGGATCGCTCGCAAACTGCAACAATGAAATATCGTGAAAAAAAAAACTGCGAAAAAGTCACTCATTCACCATTGTGGCTGGGACTCAAATTTTCTACTCATGATATTTCTACAGAACTGTCTATCTTGTGTATCCTATTTGTGAATGAATGTGTGTGTTTGGGTTTAAAGAGCATGTAGTTTAAGTTTGTTTAGAGGCAGTTAGTTAATAATTTTTTGGCACTCATTAAATAATGACATTTATAATTAATAAATTTTTTTGCTTGTTTATTGATGGAACTTGGTATGGGTTTCTTTTGTCTAGATAGCAGTTAAAGTCAGGCAATTTAAACATCCCCGTGATTCAATTGGTCATTTGTATTTGTGATAGCTCATCCCTGTTTTTATTCTAAATGTTCAGTGTTCCGACATTTTTGTGGCTCCATTACTTGACCTGAACTACATCCAATAATCCAATGGGTGCCAACTCCTTGCTTTTTCTAATTCAACAGTCTTAAATAAAAACCCAGAATCTAACCTAAGATAATAAGGTGTAGAGCTGGATGAACACAGCAGGCCAAGCAGCATCAGAGGAGCAGGAAGGCTGACACTTCGGGCCTAGACCCTTCTTCAGAAATGCCAGAATCTAACCTACCCTGTTCTGCTGAAATAAGAAGAAAGTGCCAGGAAATCTTCCACGTCAGGCAGCATCTCAGGAGAAAGAAGCTGAGTTATCTTTCCAAGTTGATAACCCTTCATCGGACCGGTTCTGATAAAAAGTTATTAACCTCAAACATTAACTCTGCTTCTCTCCCCATAGATTCTGCCACAACTATCTAAGATTTCCAACACTTCCTGTTTTCATTTCCAATTTCCAGTATTGACGGTATTTCGCTTTGGAATTACTCTTTTACTGGCTTGTTCCAATTTTAATTCCATGTTTAAGGTTCTGTCTCTGTTTCTCTAAGTGGATGAGAATTTTGGCATTCCCTTTATATTTGTTGACTTTGTTCTTATCTGTAGAACTTCGTGCGTTGTCCAAATTGAGCTATAATCATCAAAAGTCTACACATTATGTCCGAGCTAGAAATTCCCTCCTGCATGATTCCTCGTTCCCTTACTCTGATGGTGTGGAATTTTTACTGATATTTGTCCTCATCATTGAGATTAATATTTACAAAGAAGTTTTGGGGAACTGTCTGATAATAATGAGATGGCATAACATCCTTTCACATAGGCTCCATTCCGAGATATGACTGCAGAAAAAAACTGCTCTACTGGTTATTATAGTTCTTTCAATTTGCAGTTTTAACCCACTTTTGAGTGGGGCATGAATTTAAAATGTTCCTGAGGAAAACTGCAAGAAAAATAAAATGACCGACACACACAAAACGCCCACAAGCACACACAAAACGAGAAAGGAATACCTGAAGGGCTGCCTCAGGATTGACTCCACTTTGATGGGACAAACCCGCGGAGTATCCAGGCTGATTGGTCAAGGAATCTGGTGTAATGTTTCTCCACGTTGCCGAAGGTAACATTGGATCAGCTGGTAGGCTCGAAAAATCCAGATTACTGCTCTGTGGGAGAACAAAAAGAAAGACAAACGATATCAACTTTAATCCCATCCTGAGAAATGAAAATTTTAAAACAAAAGGTTATACAGATGCAGCAACCTGTAATTAAACCTAGTTAACATGAGGCATCAGTTTGACTGCTACCTGGTGTAAGCCAACATGAATCAAAGTGAAACTCAGTTTGGAGATTACTCCACATCTCAGCCCACTGGGATTTCCTTCACTCCCCGTTTATAGGAGCATTGTCTACAGCAATAGGCTATCAGGTAAATCCTGCACAAAAAGACTTGAAAAAACTTTAATCTCACTATCATAACCTTATGCTGTCTGACATTGACTGACCCCTTCTAAATAGAAAAGAGCCTAAAACATGATGACAGGCAACGCATTCACACGCAGAAATCATTTAATGCATAAATAGCTCTTTAAATTGAAACTTACACAAACCTACTGACTGATTAAGATTCAGTCAAGTCTGGGGTTCAGATATTCTTGTACGCTTTCGAGCAGAATATTCAACAAGTCGACCTGCATTTATACAGTGCCTTTCGCTGAATATAGTTTTGGTTATGTCAAAGGAGACTGGTTCGAATAGAGATGGGAATCAGATGGTTTTCATAATTTAGCGCAGTGTTCAAATTCTACTTCTCGATAAGTTTTGCGATATGATAAAGCATATGTTAAGTGCTACGATGGAAACTACTGCCCAAACAGAAACAAAATTAAAGAAAACTTTATAACTAAATCAACTGATTGCTCACTTCAGTGTCTAACAGGATGACCCCAGTTAACCCTGCTCCAAATGTTAGAATTATTGCAACTTGCAAATTGGTACAAGTCCGTTGGCGTAATCTAGGGGAGGCAAAGGCCTAGTGGTATTATTGTTAGACTATTAATCCAGAGACTCTGCTAATCTTCTTGGCTCAGGGTTCAAATCCTGCCATGGCAAATGGTGGAATTTGAATTCCAGTTTAAAAAAAAAATTCTAGAATTATGAATCGACTGAAGACCATGAAAGCATATTGCCGATTGTCGGAAAAACCTGCCTGGCTTCTAATGTTCTTTGGTGGAGGAAATCTGCCATTCTCATTAGATTTGGCGTACACGTGACTCCAGACCCACAGCAATATGGATGATTCTCAACTGCCCTCTGGAATGGCCTAGCAGCCACTCAGTACAAGAGCAGCTAAGAACAGGCAATAATTGCTTGCCAGACAGCAAAACCCTTGTCCCATGAGTGAATTTAAAAAAAACAAACAATCTAAGATAGCAATAGCATACAAATGGCTCCTATTCACTTACGGCAAGTAGTGGCTGATGGTTTTTGATAAGGACTGATACTTGACTGATGATCTGTTCAAAGGACAGTCCAGACAATGAGTTATTGTTCAGAGCACGGACTTGCCGTAGTAAGATGATCATCGTTTCCCTGATCAGAAAAAAATTAAAAAACGTGAGGCTACACTAATAACTGAAGAGTTCAAGGTTCCTTCAAGACTAGATACATCAGGTTCTCTCCGCATCCAGTCCAGGCAGACAATAAACAACTATCTCAATTTGTGGAAAGTACATGTCACTACAAAGCAAATGGTACATTGAATTGACAGAATCATAGAAAACGCAAACAGAGGATCCATCCATCCAATTCATGCTCAGCCTTCAATTTCTTTCCCTTCTCAAACTGGCATTAACTTGCTCAATCCTTCAGGTGTAAGGTTAAACAATCAATACAAACAGATTCTTTGACCATAGGAAGTATCACAGCCATAGCCACAGCCACAAATGCCCAGACTCGCAGTCGGGTTTGCAATCAGCTCCCTGGAAAAAACAATTAGCCTGGGTAGCCCCTCCCAATCAGCACCTCTACTTGTGCATGTAGAGAATCACACAGATCTGCAACACTCTCCATGGTTTAATCGTCTGACCAGGATTCAGATGAGGAAATGCCACATGGCTTAGGTACCAGATGGTTCTTGGCACAACTAGGTGCCTTCAAGAAAGGAGAGAAGGAAAACAGGTGAACAGAGCAACTCGACTCTGAAGGAAAACACCTTCCCAAACCACCTGAGAGACTTAATGGTGGCTCAGTAATTAGTAATGCTGCCTCACAGCACCAGGACCCTGGATTCGATTCCACCCTCGGGCGACTGTCTGTGTGGAGTTTGCACATTCTCCCTGTGTCTGCGTGGGTTTCCTCCAGGTGCTCCGGTTTCCTCCCACAGTCCAAAGATGTGCAGGCGAGGTGGATTGGCCATTGGAAACTGCCCATAGTGTTCAGGGATGTGTAGATTAGGGGGGTGTGTCTGGATGGACCTGTTGGGCCGAAGGGCCTGTTTCTACATTGTAGGGATTCTATGATTAATTGACCCAATAGGTGGCTCACAACAACTTACATTTATATGGCATCTTTCACCTAATGGAATGTTCCAAGGCTCTTCACAGCGGTAGTATAAAATACAAAACCAAGCCATAAGAGATTAATTCAGAGACCGAAAACACGGTAAAAGATACAGGTTTTAAGGGAAGTGAAAGGGAGGGGCTTCGGCATGCTGTTCCCAAGCTCAGAGCCCAGACAACTGAGGGAAAAGACACCAAAGGCAAAGCAATTTAAACTGGAGATGCTCCAGATCCCAGAATTACAGGAGCACAGATCATAAGAGAGTTGGGTCACTGAAGCTTAGAAGCTATGGTAGAGGGCACCCGCAGGGCGAGCAAAGAACAAGAACAAAGAAAATAACAACACAGGAACAGGCCCTTCGGCCCTCCAAGCCTGCGCCAATCCAGATCGTCTATCTAAACCTGTTGCCTATTTTCCAAGGGTCTGTATCCATCTGCTCCCTGCCCCCATTCATGTATCTGTTGAGATACATCTTAAACGATGCTATCGTGCCTGCCTCTACCAGCTCCGTTGGCAACGCATTCCAGGCACTCACCACCCTCTGCGTAAAGAACTTTCCACGCATATCTCCCTTAAACTTTTCCCCTCCCACCTTGAAATCGTGATCTCTAGTAATTGAGTCCCCCACTCTGGGGGGGAAAAGGCTTCTTGCTATCCACCCTGTCTATGATTTTGTAGACCTCAATCAGGTCGCCCCTCAACCTCTGTCTTTCTAATGTAAATAATCCTAATCTACTCAACCTCTCTTCATAGCTAGCGCCCTCTATACAAGGCAACATCCTGGTGAACCTCCTCTGCACCCTCTCCAAAGCATCCACATCCTTTTGGTAATGTGGCGACCAGAACTGTATGCAGTATTCCAAATGTGGTCGAACCAAAGTTCTATACAACTGGAACATGACCTGCCAACTCTTGTACTCAATACCCGGTCCGATGAATGAAAACATGCCGTATGCCTTCTTGACCACTCTATCGACCTGCATTGCCACCTTCAGGGTACAATGGACCTGAACACCCAGGTCTCTCTGTGCATCAATTTTCCACAGGGCTTTTCCATTTATCGTATAGTTCGCTCTTGAATTGGATCTTCCAAAATGCATCACCTCGCATTTGCCTGGATTGAACTCCATCTGTCACTTCTCCGCCCAACTCTCCAATCTATCTATATTCTGCTGCATTCTTCGACAGTCCCCTTCACTATCTGCTGCTCCACCAATCTTAGTGTCATCTGCAAACTTGCTAATCAGACCATCCATACCTTCCTCCAGATCATTTATGTATATCACAAACAACAGTGGTCCCAACACGGATCCTTGTGGAACACCACTGGTCACAGTTCTCTGTTTTGAGAAACTCCCTTCCACTACAACTCTCTGTCTCCTGTTGCCCAGCCAGTTATCTATCCATCTAGCTAGTACACCCTGGACCCCATGCGACTTCACTTTCTCCATCAGCCTACCATGGGGAACCTTATCAAACGCCTTACTGAAGTCCATGTATATGACATCTACAGCCCTTCCCTCATCTATCAACTTTTGTCACTTCCTCAAAGAATTCTATCAAATTGGTAAGACATGACCTTCCCTGCACAAAACCATGCTGCCTATCACTAATAGGCCCATTTACTTCCAAATGTAAATAGATCCTATCCCTCAGTATCTTCTCCAGCAGCTTCCCCACCACTGACGTCAGGCTCACCGGTCTATAATTACCTGGATTATCCTTGCTACTCTTCTTAAATAAGGGGACAACATTAGCAATTCTCCAGTCCTCCAGGACCTCACCCGTGCTCAAGGATGCTGCAAAGATATCTGTTAAGGCCCCAGCTATTTCCTCTCTCACTTCCCTCAGTAACCTGGGATAGACCTGATCCGGACTTGGGGACTTGTCCACCCTAATGCCTTTTAGAATATCCAACACATCCCCCCCTCCTTATGCTGACTTGACCTAGAGTAATCAAACATCTATCCCTAACCTCAACATCCATCATGTCCCTCTCCTCAGTGAATACTGACGCAAAGTACTCGTTAAGAATCTCACTCATTTTCTCTGACTCCTCGCATAACTTCCCTCCTTTGTCCTTGAGTCGGCCAACCCTTCCTCTAGTTACCCTCTTGCTCCTTATGTATGAATAAAACGCTTTGAGATTTTCCTTAACCCTGTTTGCTAAAGATATTTCATGACCCCTTTTAGCCCTCTTAATTCCTCATTTCAGATTGGTCCTACTTTCCTGATATTCTTCCAAAGCTTCGTCTGTTTTCAGTCACCTAGACCTTATGTATGCTTCCTTTTTACTCTTTGCTAGTCTCACAATTTCACCTGTCATCCACGGTTCCCTAAACTTGCCCTTTCTATCCCTCATTTTCACAGGGACATGTCTGTCCTGCACTCTAATCAAACTCACTTTAAAAGCCTCCCACATATCAAATGTGGATTTACCCTCAAACAGCTGCTCCCAATCCACATTCCCCAGCTCCTGCCGAATTTTGCCATAGTTGGCCTTCCCCCAATTCAGCACTCTTCCTTTCGGACCACTCTCGTCTTTGTCCATCAGTATTCTAAAATTTACAGAATTGTGATCACTATTCCCAAAGTAATCCCCTACTGAAACTTCAACCACCTGGCCGGGCTCATTCCCCAACACCAGGTCCAGTATGGCCCCTTCCCGAGTTGGACTATTTATATACTGCTCTAGAGAGCCCTCCTGGATGCTCCTTACAAATTCTGCTCCATCTAAACCCCTAATACTAAGTGAGGTCATGGAGGGATTTGAAAACATGGAAAAGAATTTTAAAAACAAGATATCATTTGACTGGGAGCCAATGTATGTCAGTGAGTGGAGGTAGGTGAATTAGCACATTATGAGTTCAGACTGGGGCAGCAGAGTTTTGTTTAGCCTCAAGTTCAGATTGCAATGTGAACTAATGAACTGCTCAGTGTCCCATCTCTTGGATAATACAACTTGGTCCTGTGATGGTAAACGGAGATTTTAAACCTCACAAATGTTTCCACACACATCGTTGCCCTTCTCACAGTCAGGTTTCCTAATCAATCTAGAGACTTTTTTAAAAAAAATATACACATTAAGGGTTCCTCAATCCATTAAGCGAGTCTTCTTCAGACTCCAGTTATTTACCTGTTATGTTTTGGGAACAGCTCAGTCAATCGCTCCAGAAGTCGCTCCAAGTGATTTTGAGTTGATCCACCTGTTTGGCTGGGATTGCCTGGACCAATAGGTGTTTGGTGTGGTAACCCAGATGACATTTGCACCGATAACCCAGGGGACATTGAGCGCTATAAAAATTTCCAAGCAGATTTTAAATGAGAACAGTGTTCTAATTAAGAACACAAATGTTCATAGAAACAAAACAGCAATTTGCGGATGGAACTAGTCAGCATGGATTGAAGAAAGCAATGGATCTCATGTTAAAAGTGGACCCTTCAGAAGACAAGAACCACCATGTTTCTATCCAATGGGATTTTGAACTTTCATGACTTTCCCTATAAAAATAGAATCAAGTAAAACTCTTGCCTGTTTTAGGCCAGACCAGAGCCCCTCAACACTTTTTAAGAAGGTAGCCTAGACCCTAACTTTTTCTTATTTTAAAGGTAGATGTGAATGCCATGTTCCAGATCCGATGCGACTGGTCAAACTACTTGACGTTAAGCAAAACATAATTTGTTTAAACACCGTAGTTAAAATACAAACAAAAGAAGGAAGAATTTAAAATAACTTAACTATTTGAAAACTTAACTAAATAACAGATACAGTACCTATTACTAATTAACTGTTCCAATATAGTAACATCCCATAAACACACCCCTTGGCAAAAAGGGCAGATTCAGCCACAGACTCCCACATGCAGTTCTCCAATCGGAGAGGAAAAAACATCAAGGGAAGATTCAGAAAGTGTAGCAGCCAGGAGACATTCATTGAAGCTTCCAACTCTTCCAAGAACCCAATGGCTTCGGCTTAACACTAAACCTAAAAACTGAACAAAACTAGAAGGCCTGGTCTGAGAGAGCTGGCCATACCCAAGCAGCTTCCATTATTCCAACGTTTTAAAAAAAAAACCCAAGGCTTCACAAATTGTTCACCTCCTTAGAGACAGCTCCCAACTGCTGCCTTACAACCTCTATTCAAAACAAACCACGACAAAATAATCTCGTAAAGTGACAGTATCGTCACACTTCCCAGTCAGAAAGCAAACAAAATCCACGTGGAAATGTTTCCCAGCTTACCTGCGCTATTCCTAGCTGATTATTCAACGGAGCCAATCCTGGGGGAAATGCTGGTAGTGTCGAGGATGTTCCCTGGCTAGTGTTATTTGTGGGAAATCCACTGGAAGCCAAGAGCTCTTTTTGCTTTGCCATGTAGATATGCTAAACAAGAATCGTTAAAAAAAAAATTCTCAACTGCAAGTTGTACTCACCAGCAATGTCACAAAGCATCTGGTACTTGTATAAGATTTTTGCATTTGTATAGTTATTTTGCATTTCCTTGTAATACATACGTATATGGACTGAGCTGCCAGAGGAAGTAGTGGAGGCTGGTACAGTTACAACATTTAAAAGGCATCCGGATGGGTACGTGAATAGGAAGGATGTAGAGGGATATGGGCCAAATACTGGCAAATGGGACTAGGTCATATTGGGATGTCTGGTCAGCATGGATGAGTTGGACCGAAGGGTCTGTTTCCATGCTGTACAGTTCTATGACTCAATGACATCTTACATACTCTACATAAACAAACCCAAATGTACAACTGAATACATTGCAGTGGGAAGGAGAGGATCCTATGATCCTGTTTCATGTAGATATTAAAGACAAAAAGGTGACCGAGGAAAGTGGTTTTGCTGAGGTGACAAGAGTAGCTAGGAGCCGAGTTGTAAAGCAGAACCTGAAAAGCTAATAATGTCTGTATTGTTACCCAAGCCATGAGAATATTGGCACAGGGTAAAGTAGATTAGCGAGATGAGTGCATAGCTCACAATATTGGGTGGTAGAAATGGGTTTTGATTCCTGAGGAACTGGTTCTTGTGCTGAATTGGGTTGTACTCTGGGTTTGGTCTTCAATAGAACCACGCTGAGACCAGTGTTCTGGTCAGTCATTGAACTGGAATGGTAGAGAGGGCTCTAAACTACATAGTAGGGGTGAAGGATCAAATTTGAGAAGATAAGACAAGAGAGCATGGTTACAATAAGGAAAATGGCAGAAAGAGACGCCCAACAGTGCAACAGGAGATAGGACTAGAGATTACAAAGACACGTCTAAATACTTTGTATTTAAATACATGTGCCATTTGTAACAAAACCACAGGGAGATGATGGCCTAGTGGAGTTAGACTAAACTATTAATTCAGAGACCCAGGGAATGTTCTGGGGACATAGGTTTAAATATCGCCATGGCAGATGATGGAATTTGAATTTGATAAAAATCTGGCATTATGAGTCTAATGACAACAACAAAAGCTGATGTGGATCATCAGGAAAAAACCCATCTGTTTTACAAAGTCCTTTAAGGAAGGAAACTGCCATCGTTACCTGGTCTGGTATGTGACGCCAGACCCACAGCAATGTGGTTGACTCATAACTGTCTTTTCGGCAATTAGAGATGGGCAATAAATGCTGGCCCAGCCAACAATGACCACAACTCAAGGATGAATTTTAAAACAAATGAATTGACAGTGCAAATCAAAATAAATATATAAATAATATGATCTGATTGCTACTGCAGGTATTGTTTCAAAATGCCAAGGACTGGGACCTGATTATTCATCGGCCCACAACATTTAATAATGTCAAAAAGCTAGGAAAAGGTGGAAAGCCAGTTTTTAAATTCATTCACGGTATGAGGGCGTCACTGACCAGGCAGCACTTATTGCCCATCCCTAATTGCCCAGAGGGCAGTTTTAGAGTCAACCACATTGCTGTGGTTCTGGAGTCACATGTAGACCAGACCAGGTAAAGATGGCAGTTTCCTTCCCTAAAGGACATTAGTGAACCAGATGGGTTTTTCCAACAATCGACAATGGATTCATGGTCATCATTAGATTCTTAATTCTAGATATTTCTTTTACTGAATTCAAATTCCACCATCTGCCATGGCAGGAGTCGAACCTGGGTCCCCAGAACGTTATCCGGGTCTCTGGATTAATAATAGTTCAGCGATAATACCACTAGGCCACTGCCTCCCCTAATTAATTGTTAATTATTGCTGGCATTGGTACAACAGAGAGAGATGACCATAGTTCTAGAGATGACGTAGAATCAGTTTGGTAGATACAAAAAAATAGTATAAGTTAGAAGTCACTCATGGGAGTAGTTTATAGAGTTCTAACACCCATATACTACAGACTGATGTAGATAGGAAGAAGTAAAAAGGACTTGTGAAAAAGATATGGATGAATCAACTGGGCAAGTGTGGCATGATGCTGAGTTCATAGAATGTTTTCCATCCTATTTCTTGAACTGATTATATGCAACAAGACAGGGTTAACTAGTAACCTCTAGTAAAGATGCCTCAAGGTAGTAATGATTGAATATGACTGAATTTTGCATTCAGTTTGAAGAAGTAGATTGAACACTAGCGCTTAAACCTAAATACAGGCAATTATGAGACAATGAAGAGAGAGTGACGTAGGAAAGGGATACAAACTGTAGTGGTTGTAACAAGGTCAGACAGGTAGACCTCACAGAATGAGTACCTTGACTGGACCAGATTAATCGTCCCAATCAGGGAGCTCTGGCTGACAGATAAAAACAAGACTGTGGGACATCCTTGCACTCAGAGCTGAATCAGTGTCAAGGACTTTCCACAATAAAGGGTGGCTTTGTGATGGGAGACTGGCCTCTGTGGAGTTATTTCACTGAGCAGGTTAAGGAATGGGTCAGCGGAGATACAGTGGTAGGCATTTAAATAGCAATTTCAGCTATTTCTGAATACTCAAGAAAGACAGAAGCAGATGAATATCTCACAGCATTAAGTGTCCTGTCCAATAAGCAAGGAAGCTGTGGTAGACCCGGTCCTTGGAATTGATGTGGGGAAGTAGATTAATTGACAGGGGGGAACACTTAAGGAACAGTGATCATTGTAACATAGCGTTTAGGAGGGCAGTAGAAAACAGCACTGGTCCATCCAGAGTACAAATAGCACCAGGTTGAGAGCCAGCTTCATTGGAGCAAGGATGGTCCTGGGCCAAATGCAACTAAATGTTGTTGAGAAAAATATTGGTTGAACAAGAGGATACTTTTAAAGGAGAGATGGGTCAGACACTGTAAAGGAATATTTCTTCAAAAGAGAAAAGGCTGGATAAACAAGTCCAGACCTTCTAGGATACTGAAGGATGTGAAAGTAGATTTTGCATTTGGTTTGTGCAAACATGATTTTGTGAAAGTGAAATCAAGTTCAGCTAATTTATTCAAATTCTTTAAGAATGCACTAAGCAGCATAAAGAGTGGAGAAGCGGTGGATGAACTCTACTTAGATTTCTAGAAGGTATTCGACAAGGTGCCATATCAAAGGTTACTAAACAAAAGCTCACTATGTACGAGTGACTTACACATTCAAATATATTGAGGATTGGTTGGCTAATAGCAAGTAGAATGGGTCATTCTTGTATTGGCAGGAAGTGACAAGGAGTGTTCCAAAGGGATCAGTTTGGGTTGTCAGTTATATACAATTTATCTCAATGACTTTTAGTTGAAGGGGTCATGTGTATGGTTGCTAAATTGCTGATAGTGGAAGAATAGGCAGGGAAGTAGGATGTGAAGAGGACATAAAGTCTGTAAATGGACAACAGATGGCTTTACAAAGTGGCGAATATTTGTCAGATGAATGTCAGAAAACGTCAGCCTGTCCTCTGAGGGGAAGAATAGAAAAGCAGTGCGCTATTTAAATGGATAGAGATTATAGACCTCTAAAGTGCAGAGGGATCTGGACAAGCTGGTACATAAGTCACAAAAAGTCAGTACAGGTGCAGCTAGTGATTGGGAACGCAATGCAGAAAGTTGTCATTTATTGCAAGGACATTGGAATATAACAGTTAGGGATACTTGTACTGAGAACGTGTGGCCACATTTGGAGTACTGGTCACAAATTTGGACTCGTTCTTTAAGAAAAGATGAGAATTTATTCGAAGTAGTTCAGAGTAGATACTTGGGGTGGGGGGAAGCATTGTTTTACCAAGAAAGATTAGATAGGTGGGCCTATACCCTTTGTGGAGTTTTGAAGAATGAGGGGTAACCTTTTTTTCACTTGTGGGATGAGGGCATCGCTGGTTGGGTCAGCGTTTATTGCCTGTCCCTAGTTGCCTTGAGAAGGTGGGGGACAGCTGTCTTCTTGAACTGCTGCTGTCCATGTGTTGTGGGTAGAGCCACAATGCTGTTGGGGGGGAGGAATTCTAGGATTTTCTCCCAGTGACACTGAAAGAATGGCAGTATATTTCTAAGTCATATGTGGAGACATACAAAATCCTGATGGGACTTGACAATGTAGATGCTGCAAGAATGCTTCTAGAGGAACTAGGGGAAATATTTAAAAACAGTTTAAGGTGGAGGTATGGGGAAGATTTCTTTTCTCTCTCTCAAAGGGTCACCAGTCTTTGGAAACTCTCCTCTCCAGAATGCAGTGGAGGCAGTATCTATTGACTAATTTTAAGGCAGAGGTAGATTAATTCTTGACTAACAAGGGAATTGCTGGTTACTGGGATAGGCAGGGATGTGGAGCTGGAATCAGCAGTGATCTTATTGAAACGTGGAGCAAGCTAGAGGGGCTGAATGGCCTATTCTTGCACTTAATTTATACGTTCAAACTCAACACTTACCATGAAGTCAGACTGGGATGGGGGCAAGAGGACAGGAACCTGTGGCATGTTACACAACTTTGCTCCATTCCGAATCATGTCAATCTGTTCGTTGAAGGTACTCTGACAGAACAAAAGAAACATTGAAACATTAAAAAAAAGTGCTTTCCACAAATAACCAAAAGATAAAGCATTTCTTGCAGAATCTGAACACTATTTGAACATTCAATGCTTACCACTTATTTAGCTGAAATAACTTTATTACTGCAATAGTTCAACCAATCATTCTAAAACCTATCACTAAGAGTTAACTGTGGGCTCATTTTTCTATCCAGTGTCTTCCCTCTCTCTTTTTGGTTTTTAAGTAATGATTGTGTGATGCAGCAAACTCCTAAGCACAGAATGAGTACAGCACCTGGCATATAAAATACACCCCATCAGGATGTGGAGAATAGTGAATGTTTTTGCAAAGTGGCAGCGACCCTGTGAAAACAGACGGAACCTTACGAGGCTGTTAATCAGAAAAATGGGATTTGCAGCTTAAAGAATCTCAACCACTCAGGGGGTCACAGACCTTGGTCTGCTTCCATCAGCATCGACTTAGACAGTGAGAGGTAGCCATATACAGCTCTGCCAACTTTGGCCAGCACGGTGCCTCAGTGATTAGCATTGCCGCCTCACATCGCCAGGGACCCAGGTTTGATTCCACCCTCAAGCAACTATCTGTGTGGAGTTTGCACGTTCTCCACCTGTCTGCGTGGATTCCTTTGCCAGATACTGCAAGACATACGGGTGGCACAGTGGCTCAGTGGTTAGCACTGCTGCCTCACAGCGCCAGGGACCCAGGTTCAAATCTGCCCTCGGGCAACTGTCTGTGTGGAGTTTGCGCATTATCCCCGTGTCCTCCAGGTGCTCCGGTTTCCTCTCTGTCCAAAGATGTGAGGGTTAGGTGGATTGGCCATGCTAAATTGTCCCATAATGTCTAGGGATATGTGGGTTAAGTCGATTAGGCGTGGGACATGCGAGGTTACAGGGATAAGGCTGGGGGTTAGGTCTGAGTGGGATGCTCTTCGGACAGTCAGTGCAGACTTAATGGGCTGCATGGCCTATTTTCAGAGTATAGGGATTCTAACTAAGTAAAAGGCCGGATACTGTCCCAATTGATAAATTATTCCGGATTTAAGAGAGCAGGAAGGGCCATGAGATGTTTGAGTAGAAACAGACTGGGAGTTGGCTGTTTCTCATATTCCTGAGAGTGCAGAGTCTTTGGAAGGTAAAACCATCTGGAACAGCGAATGTCAACTCTTAAGATATTACAGCAGAGATCGGTGTCAACCGAAATAAGCGTTGTAATAGTCCACACTTGGCCCATAATTTTCTGGCCTGATGTTGATGACCCCAGGGAGACAGGGCAGAGTTTCCCAGCTTATTCCACATTATTGTCCTTGGGTTTTCTCTCTGAGGAGACTATAGGGAGTAGGGTAGGTGGGTTGGGGAGGTGGAGGAGGAGGTGTGATGGTAGATATAAGAAAGTTGGGGATTGGCGGCTGGTGGGAAGAGGTAAGGAAATGAACTGTCCCCCATTCTGGCTTAGGCCTAGTTTGACACAAGAGGCTGACAACAAATAAAAACTGCTCAGCTTCACATCTCATTGGATCTCAGGGCATTCCCAGACTGTACAAACTGGAGGAATTTAACATAAATGAAGGAAAATGAGAAGGAGAAAAAAAGACATTTTTCATGACCACCAAAATGACTCAAAGTGCTTTCATAACTAATGAAGCACTTGTTGAAATGTAGTCACTGCTGTCATGTAGGAAACCCATCAGCCATTTTGTACACAGCAAGCTCCCACAAACAGCTATGTGATAAAGACTAGAAAATCTGTCTTTCTGATGTTGATTGAGGTATAAGTATTAGGCACGCCACGAGAGATAACTTCTCCTTTTCACAATAGGGCCGTGGGATCTCTCTCATCAACCCAAGCAGGCAGGAATGGTCTCAGCCAAACACTTCACCTGAAAGACAGCAGCGCTGACAGTGCGGCACTCACTCAGGATCGAATTGGAGCATTGGGCCCTGGAGCGGGGACATGAACCTAAGATTCAGAGACTGCAGTGCTACCGACTGAGTTGCATCTGACATAGGGAAGACTTCTGAGAGAATGGACTACAAAGTATCTGTAAAACCAAATACTGACCACTGTTTGGTGTATTTTTGACTTGATGTCAGCAAGCACCAGCTCATATGCCAGCATCGCAGCCTTGACGTCAATCTGAACCGTGGGAGTGCTGTGAGGACAAAAGAAAGAGACACAGATTGTATCTTCAGAGCCAGCCCCTCATCTTTACAGCAGAGAGATCCTGGTCACTCTCCCACCAATGCTAATGTAGCTGGTTCTGGAATTAATGCAGAAAGAGGCAGATGCACTCACTCTTTGAACTGGATTGTAATGTTGCCATTCTTGGCTGCATGGTTCAGCTCATGTTTCTCTTTATTAACAAACTAACTTAATGCGACGTATCAACAGTCTGAATCAGCAAGCACTACACAATCCAAATGGACAACAGCATCCAAAACTATACAGGTGAAGGAGATAGATGTAAAAGTCACTGAGTCACAAAAGACGCAGCTGAGGTAGTAGATCAGCCATGATCTTACAGAACAGAACAACAGGTTTCAGGGGCCGTATGATCTATTCCTCTTTCTTATTTTGCTAAGTGTAAGTAAATGCTCATTCACACACAAATACAAGGGAACAGTCAGCTGTGTATATGATGGAATCATAGCATGTTTTTATTTTTAGATATAACACAGTGTGGAGCTGGAGGAACACGGCAGACCAGGCAGCATTAGAGGAGCAGGAAAGTTGACGTTTTGGGTCGGGACCCTTCTTCATATTTTAGTTGCTTTGTATTTTAACATTTGAATCGGCATTTTTGAGACTTTGATACGAACGGTTTAAAAAGCAACATCTTGTATGAATCCTTTAGCTCAATTGAGCAATCTGTACCCAGCATTTGCTACACCCTGTCTGCAGTGACCATAAACTGATGAATTCGGCGTCACCCTCTGGCAATCCGAGATAAAAGTCTGAAAAGTTGCTACAAACAACGACAGGGCAACCAGGATCGTTAAAGAGTGTCGTCAGTCTCTTGTTCTGAAATGCTTGCCCGCTGTCATCTTTTGAAGAAATACTGACAAACCCATCATCTATCTTCAGCATTTCCTTTTTTTTTTCCAAATCAACTGCTTCTAAAACCTGTCTCCACGTCCCTTCCCAATTTCAGGGAGATGTGGGGCTATCAAGGTCAGGAAATAAACAAAAAGTGGCTAGCTTCCTATCACTTTCAACCCATTTTCTTTAAAAACCAACATGACTTCCAGTTATTTTAAGCAACCTGTTTGAACATGTTATGACACACATCTGGGGCGTGTGGGACTTGAACAAAGGCTTCCTGCATCAGAAGTAGGCGCGCTACCACTTGGCCACAAGACCCCCCTTCACATGACTTCTACATTGATACACTCTACGAGGTTGAGCTGGGATTTGTTGCTAATCTCCATAAACTTGTCAGAGTCTCCAGCAAACTTTAGGGTGATGGGCGAATAGGATATTGAAATGAGTAGGGACGCAACAATGAGATGAATGTCAAGTTTATGGACTTGTAAGTATTAGGATTAACCAAGTATTAGGATTGTCACATGTGGAAGTAACAAAGGTTAGCAGGAGGAGATCAGCATCAGAGGGATTGAGGAGAGAGTGAGGTATGGCAATGCTACAGAGATGGAAAATTGATGGTCTCAATAACGTGCTCACAAACTCATCTCCCAGTCAAATATAACACTTGGGGTTGCGAACAGTCTGGTTCAGCCTCATTTTTAAATGAGCCTGCCTTTGTTTCTCTATGAAATCAGCCAATCCCACCTTACAGCAGGTCAAAAAGAATTACAAATGCAAGTCGATCTCTGTTCTGTAGACAGCCCGTGAAACAAGGAGGGATTGCAGACAGAAGACAGAGAAGTGCATTTGCATAAAATAGATACAGAAAATTGCTGGAGAAACTCAGCAGTTCTGGCAGCATCTGTGGAGAGAGAAACAGGGTTAACGTATCGAGTTTGATAGGATTCTTGTTCAGAACCTCTTCACGACCTCAGGACACCGAAAACCATTAAACCATCCACGTGACAATAAAAACCAAATCAAAAATCAAATCAAATCAAAATCAAAGCACTCTAAATTTGAAGCCATTTGTTGCAACATAGGCAGCAACACAGATTAGAGAGTGATGCTCTGGAGAAGTTATTCAACACAAGTCACTTCAATTTGATTGACTGCTGTCACCATTATGATTTGCAAGGCGTAACTATGTCACCAACATGATCATGCAGACTCTGACATGGTTTGCACAAGTTCGGCACACTCTCTTACCTCATCAGCTTCTGCCTCAAGCTGGACAGTTTAACCTCTCCTTCTTTTGCCGCTTGCTCAAGAAAAACAATCCCTTTATCTCGCCTGCCCTCCAGCACCTGAACCTGAGGAACAAAGAGAAAGTTGCATTTCAGAAAAGTTCAGGATGCAACTCCCCCCTCCTTTCCTTCCACTGAATAATTAGTCTACCAGCATTTGGTAGTACATCACCCGATTCCCTCACTGAGCTTGGGGATTTATCCTGAGTCACTTCTCACTCCCAGAACGATCTTTGTTTTATTTGTTGGTATAACGAGAGTGGCACCGACTGGGCCAGCATTTACTGTCCTTCCCTAACTGCCCTTTCAAAGGTGGGGGTGAGCCGCCTTCTTGAACCACTGCACTGCTCTTAAGGAAGGGAGTTGCAGGATTTTGCCCCAGCGACAGCGAAGAAACGGCGATACATTTCCAAGTCAGGATGGTATGTGGTTTAGAAGGGAACTGGCAGCAGGTGGCGTTCTCATGTATCTGTTGCCCTTATCCTACAGGTGGCAGTGGTTGCACATTTGGAACGTGCTGTCCAAGGAGAGTTGCTGCTCTGTGTCTTGCGCATATTTAGTGCACTGTTGCCACTCTACGTTGCTGGTGGACAGAGTGAATGTTTAAGGGGATGGATCGAGAGGGTGCAGGGGGCTGATCAGGTATCCTGCACACCAGGTCTGGGTGGCTCAGTATTACGGTGTATTTTTTCAACTGATTCAATGAAGGGATCACCCAAGGTCAGATTTCAAAACTGATACAACAGGGGCATCTCCTTGGTTTTGCTGCCAACATTACCCATTACTGAGTACAAGGATTAGAGGAGGGAGCTAAGGAAACATTTTCTCCACCCCCAGACACTGCCTAAAAGGATTGCAGCAGCAAAAATTCTTGATTCATTTAAAAAGAAGTGTCTGGATGTGCACCTCCAGGGCAGATCTACAGACCAAATGCTGGACAGTGGGATTAGGCTTCGGGGGAGGGGGGGTGGTTTAAGGTGTCACAAACTGGCCTCTTTCTGTGCCACAAATTTTCTATGATTCTACTAATAGAGGAAAGAAGAAGTGAAGCCGCCTGTGGTTCTGGACATACAAAACTCAAAAACAGCAATTTGCATAGTAGACAGAATACAGGAAGAGTAAAAGCAAATACTTCACCAAAGTTAACCACATTGACTAAGTCACGATAAAGAATCACCTCCGCAGCCATTGCTCTTCTCATGGCCTCGATAAATTCATCTTTGCTTTTTGCCGACTGCCTCTCCAACCGAATCCTTTCCTGTGCCCACTGTTCTCTGCACAAACAGCATCGTAACATTTATTAACTACAGTTCAGTTCTACTCACACAGCAACCGGACTTAAAATTAGCATCATGCTCGAATTCATTTGCAAACAGGCTGCATTTGTGAAACAGCTCCCACTTTTGGTCCAACATGTCACTTGCATGTAAAATCTTTAACTGGAGACAACTTTGATAGAGACGTGCGAGAGAGAGAGAACGCGCGCGAGAGAGAGAGAAAGAGCGCGCAAGAGAGAGAGAGCGCAAGAGAGCGAGCGCACCAGCAGGGTCTGGTCAGACAGCTATAAATCAGACAGCAGTGGAAGGTACAGAGATACAAACACACAGAGCACTGCAAGGAAGGAAAGACTTGCAGTGGTTTCTGAGCATTTTTCATAACCTTACGATAAGCAAAACTGCTTTACAGCCTATGAAGTACGCTTCATATGGGGGGGGGGGGGGGAGCAGTGATAACATCACTGGACGAGTACGTCAGAACCCTAGGCTGATGTTCTGGGGACATGAGTTGGAATCTCACCAAGATCCCTGATGGTGTAATTTGAATTCAGTAAAAATCTGCAGTCTGATGGCAACCGTGTTGATTGTCTTAAAAATCCATCTGTATCACTAACTCTCTTTCGGGAAGAAAATCTGCCATCGTAACGTGGGCTCATCTGCATGCGACTCCAGGCTCACAGCAACAACGATGAGATTTAACAATTGGGGTTGAACAATAAATGTTCACATAGCCAGCAACACCCACAGCCCATGGACAAAAAAAAATTCTATGGTTTACAGTGACCTCAATACAAGATACAAACCTCTCCTTAGTGTCTCTGGGGCTGGGGATGTCTGCACAAACACTATAAAGGGCTGCTGGCTTAGCTATCTTCCCCTTTTTGCCCCTCTTCTCAGTGTCTAGTATCTCCAGTCTTCCGCAAGGTTCACTCATTCTCTTCAGTACTGTAGCACTCAATTTATACCTATGCTTTACTGAATACAGCTCTCTAGTGTGGTGCCTAGGATCTCTCTACACATTCCTCGTCTCTGCAATCTGATCTGTTCTTCTGAACCTCCCTGCTGATGTTAAGTAGCATCACCTGGTACATCACCATCATCATTTACATGTTCCATTGCTATACAGAAAAGACTGTCGTCACTGTTGTGATGGAGGCAAGTTGGCACTCACTGTTCTCGTTGGAAATGGTCCTTCTGGTTTTCCAGCTCTTGCTGTTGTGCCTGTATCTGTTTCTCAGACCTAGGCAAAGTGAAAAAAAAAAAAAAAAAAAAAAAAAAAAAAATTCTATTTATACCTCTGGCCGCTTCCCAAATTCTAAAAGGCCAAATTAAGCCAAGAACACAGTCACTTGGACAGTTTGAGAGTGTGGTATCGAGCTTTGCATACTACAGATGCCTATAACTGCAGCCTGGGTACTCAATGCATAGGGAGGGTGAGGAGGTTAACCCTTCTTACTTCTTGATCATTTCCTCTTTGCTCTGGAGTGCATCTTGAAGACTTTTTATTTGGTTCTGAAGAGCTTTCTTATCGTTTTGTTGCATTTTCTGCTCGTTCTCCATTTCCTGTTTCAGCCTCTGAAGCTCTGCTGTTTGATGCTGAAAGAACACAAGTACCCAATAGTTCATGACTGATCTCAGACTGACACAGCAGTTGAACCTCCAATTCTCTCCCTCCTCCCCTTTTCTTACCACACAGAGACAAGTTGCAATCCTTTTCTTTACAGCTAGGTGGCTGACCACCACCCTGGGTCTTCATTCAAAGGAATGTCTCTTGTTCTGGCTCAGTTGGTAGTATTCTCATCTCTAAATCATTAGGTTCTGTGTTTGAGTCCCATTTAGTGCTTAAGCACAAAAAAGATCAAACCGACACACCAGTGTGCTACTGAGGCAGTGCTGCACTTCCTGAAGCACCCTCCTTTTTAAGATTAGGCCAGTGTTTCCCAAACCATTCCCCACTGTGACCCATTTCGAGGTTTGAAATTTGTCGCCACTTCTCAGTGAAAACTGAGAAATTGGGTTGACATAAGGGTGGGGGAAGATGCTGAGAGAGTGGGGGCCTGTTCGAGCAGGAATAACAGTAAAGGCAAAATCACCATAGCCCCAGAGGGCCATCGGGCTGCTCTCTCCTCAGAGAGAGAGCAAGCGAGAGAGAGCAACACATCTGGTGGTGGGTTATCCTGAGGGTAACCACAAGGGAAGAGGTTGAGAAGGAGAATCCTTCACGGTAATGTCAGCCAGTGAGGGAATGGAACCCATTCCTTTGGCATCACGCTGCATCACAAACTAGCCATCCAGCCAACTGAGCTAACCAACCCACTTCAGGCAGGGGTTCGGCAGCTTTAACTCAGTCGGAATTCCACATCAGCCATTGCTGCCTCAGATTCACATTCCCAAAGCTTCAGTTCATGGCCCCCCACTTTGGAAAGTGCTGGACTAGTTATTAAACTGACATCACATTTACTACCGTTCCAAATGACTACCTATCTATTTATGAGCAGAGATCATTTCTCCTCGACTATCTGTACGGAACTCTGATAACTTTGAAAATTTCAATCATATCTCCTCTCCAAGGAAAGCATTCCCAACCTCTCCAATCTTTCCACATAACTGAAGATTCTTATCCCTGGAATTTTTGGGAAGATTATCTCAGAGTACAACAGGACTTTAATCAGATGGGCCGATGAGTGGCAGATGGAGTTTAATTTAGATAAACGTGAGGTACTGCATTTCAGTAGGGCAAATCAGAGCAAGACTATTAATGATAGGGTGCTGGAGAGTGCTGCTGAACAAAAAGACCTAGGGGTGTGTGGGTGCATAGTTTCTTGAAAGTGGAGTCACAGGTGGACAGGATGGTGAAGGAGCGCATGCCTTCATTAGTTAGTTCATTGAGAAAAGGAGTTGGGATGTTGTGTCGCAGCTGCACAGGACATTGGTTAGGCCACTTCTGGAACACTGGGGTCAATTCTGGTCACCCTGCTACAGGAAAGGTGTTGTGAAACTTGAAAGCGTTCAGGAAAAGATTTACAAGGATGTCGCTGGCGTTGGAGGGTTTGAGCTATAGGGAGAGGCTGAATAGGCTGGGGCTATATTCCCTGGAGCATCACAGGCTGAGGGGTGACCTTATATAGATTTATAAGGTCATGAGGGGCATGGATAGGTGAATAGCCAAGATCTTTTCTCAAGTTAGGGAAGTCTTAAAACTAGGGGGCATATTTTTAAAGGTTAGAAGGGAAAGATTTAAAAGGAACCTGAGGGGCACCTTTTTCACGTAGAGGGTGGTGCAAGTATGGAATGAGCTGCCAGAGGAAGTGATGGAGGCTGGTACAATTACAACATTTATAAGGCATCTGGATGGGTTTGTGAAAAGGAAGGGTTTAAAGGGATTTGGACCAAATGCTGGAAAATGGGACTAGATTAATTTAGGATATCTGGTCAGCACAGACAGTTGGACTGAAGGGTCTGTTTCCATGCTGTAAAACTCCATGACTCTAGATCTGGAACAAATCTGGCAGTGGAGGTCAATTGAAAGTTCCAAAGAAGATATTATAGCTTATATTCCACAAGAGTATAAAAAGATATGGAAGCAAAGTGGGTAAAGTGAAGTTAAAATGTCGACCATTCAATCAAATTAAATAGCTGAAGAGGCTCAAGGAGTTGAATGGTTCAGTCCCATTCTCAAATTTCTATTTATATATCATCTTTCAAAACCTCAGTCTGCCCTGTTGCAACCCCCTAAGTGTGTGAATGAGTTGCATTAGAGGAACAATGCAGCCAAACTGCGTACAGCAAGATCCCACAAACAGCAACGCGATAATGACCAGACAGTCTGCTCACAAGTGACGTGCGTCAAGACAAATATTGGCCCACAAAGGAAACATGTCCTATACACAGTGCGCCTCGTCTGCAGTAATGTGGACGGTGGCTCCCTTTTCCCCAGCACTGACCTTGTAACTGTCTTGTGTCTTTGCCTGCCGTTTCACCAGCTGCTCATACTGTGCAGTCTTCTCTTCACACAGCAGCTTCCACCTTCGCACTGCGGCCTCCAACTCTGCAAACTAATAAAGCACATTAATTACATTCCTATCCCCAACCCATCAACCAGGCCAAGCCTCAGCAAGTTTACACAGTGAGGGGCTGAGCCATTTGTTGGGGCGGTTTCGTCTTTTAAAAAAAAAAGCGCTGGGAGAACCGATGTCAGCATAGTTGCTAGTAGGTGACTGCAATGAACCTCACTTTCCTTGTAATATGGAGGGTTCTGTGTTTCTCCACCTGATTGCTAATGACAGACTGCAGCACTGAACTGGGGCTGTCCTGTGATATACCTTGTCCCATCAAACCATGGAAAAAGGTTCCTAATACAAGGATCCCGGAGTCTGAAAGAACAAAATTAATGTCCTTGCTCAAAGTGCGTGGATCTTCAGAATTAGCCAATCCAGAGTTGATAGGTATGTAAAAGATAGAGAACAAGAGATTTTACTTTGGCCCTAAGTGAGCCAAAGGATATGGGGAGTTAGGTATTAAAGTAGGTTAGCCATGACTATATTGCATGGAATAACAAACAAATGGCCCCCAACTCTCACATTCTCGTGAGATGATGGGATTTTATCCCAGGAAGATCTTTTGCAAAGAGGAAGGGGAAAAAAATTCACAATATCAACTCAAAGGGAAAAAAAATGCAAGATTTATACTGCATGAGAGGAGAGCGCTGACTGGCTAGCAAGTTACCTCAGATTATTGGAGGTGTTGCCATGGAGAAGACACCGGTCTGTGATGACTGGCAGTTAACTGCCACACTGTAAATTTTAAATCAGGCAGGTTGACAGACTTTTTCCAAATGCTGCCCTGAGGAGTAAACCAGTGCATGGCTTTCACTTATTTTAAAGAGGTGAAGAAAAGTTCTCTCCTGCTTTCTTTCTCTCACCACCTTCTTGCTCTAGGTCCTAATTTGTGCTAGGTACAGTTTCATGGATGATCTCCAGGACCCACATCCAATACACATTTCCCAGTGGGAGCCCCCCTCCCCCAATGATCTGGAGTGGGAGCTTCAGCCGTGTTTGGGGTGAGTAATCCCTTTTGTGGGTTGCAATAGTTTCTGGCTAGGAAGGCAAGCACTTCACCAATCAGCAGGGCTGGTCTGACTTCGTTTGTCCACAAATTTGGAACAGACAGGAATGTTCCCCATCAATTTGCCCAAGTTTATAAAAATCTGATTTCTCACCTCTCCCAAGAGTTCACATAGTTTCAGATGGGGCTGGGGGTGGTGTATATCGCAATTACTTGTGCAGGAGAAGTTGGACGAAACAAAGTATTTTCCTCCACTTTATATTCAGAGACAGCACTTTAGGAGGCTATTCAGCCCTTCATGCCTGTTCCAACTCCTCACCTCAGCTATCAATCAATCCCACTCCCCCAACCTCATTCCTACCTCATTCTTCTCCCGGATTTCCTGCTGCGATATGTGGGAAATGTCCTCCTCCCTGTCACGGAACACAAGACACTTTCAGTGTTCAACCTCTGTCCTATTTTATGACAGAGATGGTAAATAGAAACAGCATAGCAGCACCGTTACTGCACTAAACACCCACAAGACTGGGCTACGATTAGAGACATGGTGGTGGTGGCAGGGAGGGATTCTAATCCTATTTAAAGTTGGAAGGGATTTGAACTCGGTCCCATGAGGTGAAATCTCACTAATGCAGCTGGGAATGTTAAATGCAGTTAACTGATAAAATATATAATGGGAAGCAAGGATCAGTTCTGGTAGTTGTGAAATACTGGATTGTTGCAGGCACCGATCTGTTCATAAATGACCTTTAGGAAAGGACCGTCCTTACTCAGTCTGGCCTACACGTGACTCCAGACCCATAAGAACGTGGTTGGCTTTAATCTCCCTCTGAAGTGGCAGCCTCTCAGTTGCGTTCAAGAACACAGGTCCTCAAGGGCAACTGGGGATGTGAAATAAATGCCAGCTTAGCCAGCGATGCCCACATCCTGTGGATTAATACAAGTGAAAAAGGGAACAACAAAGAGGAGTCAGTCCATGAGGAGTCAGACTCAGTTGTGGGTCACTTAGTGCTAGACATACGGGTAGCACAGTGGCTCAGTGGTTAGCACTGCTGCCTCACAGCGCCAGGGATCCAGGTTCAATTCTGCCCTCGGGCGACTGTCTGTGTGGAGTTTGCGCATTCGGTTTCCTCCCACAGTCCAAAGATGTGAAGGTTAGGTGGATTCGCCATGCTAAGTTGTCCCATAGTGTCCAGGAATGTGTAGGTTAGGAGGATTAGCCATAGTAAATGTGGGGTTACGGGGATAGAGTAAGTAGGGGTGACACGGGTGGCTCAGTGGTTAGCACTGCTGCCTCACAGCGCCAGGAACCTGGGTTCGATACCAGCCTTAGGCGACTGTCTGTGTGGAATTTGCACATTTCCCCCCGTATCTGCGTGGGTTTCCCCCCCACCCCCGAGTGCTCCAGTTTCCTCCCACAGTCCAAAAATGTGCAGGCTAGGTGGATTGGCTGTACTAAAATTGCCCACAGTGCCCAGGGATGTTTAGGTTAGGTGGGTTAGACATGGGAAAATTCAGGGTTCGGGGTTCGGGGAATGGGTGGGATGCTCTTTGGAGGGGTGGTGTGGACTTGTTGGGCCAAATGGCCTGTTTCCACAGTTTAGGGATTCTATGATCGTTACAGAGATTCACATTGAAACCATAACTTAATCTTTGCTGTGGCTGCCCATCTCACCACAGTTAGTCTACCTGTCCTCATCCGCAGTGCTCTCCACGTCCTTCTCACTGATGTTTTCAACGTGATGGATGGGCTTCTGGTAAAGAAACCGTGTGGGGGAAAGGAAAAAGGTATTTTACTTTTTTTAAAAACAATAATTTGAAAGCATAAAGGTGCAGTGAGGCAGAGCTCCCTCTGATGGCCAAGTGAGTAACTGCATAGCCCGATACCCTTTTTAAGTATTAACTCAGCTCCGTAGAATGCTATTCCTGCCCAGGATCCGCTTCTTTCACTCATTCACGGGACACGGGCATCACTGGCTGGGACAGCATTCATTGCTCATCCCTAATTGCCCCGACAAGGTGGTGGTGAACTACCTTCTTGAACTGCTGCAGCCCATGTGGTGGAGGTACAGGGCTGTTAGGGAGGGAGTTCCAGGGTTTTGACCCAGTGTAGGGAGCTTCAACTGACCTCAGCGCCTGCAGGCCAAGAGGGAGGAGCAGACAACCCTAGAGCCTCTGCTCCTTGAATGTGCGTCACCTCCCTCCATCGCTGGCCACGTCTGCTGAGGCTCTGTGCTGTGGAACACCCTCCCTGAAACGCTACTCTCCTTCCTTCAAACTCGCCTCTATAACCTAGGTTTCAATCACCTTGCCGTGCTATCTCCCCAACACAGTGATGTTTTACTCTACACTGCAACACTGTTACAGCTTGCCCACTGCATTCACTGTTTGAAGTTGCTTGCATGAACAGAGAGTATTGACAGCATTGAGTCCCCTCCCCAATTGTGGCCTGACAACATACAACGACCACCCCCCCAACACACACCACCTCCACACACACACACACACACACACACACACACACACACACACAGAAGACAAGGGAAGAAGGTGAGGAAAATAACTTGAAAGTACCTTCCTCCCTTTGGTTTTCTTCTTCTTTTTCCTCCGGCTGACTTTCTGGGGGTCGTTCTGCAATTCAAAATTGAATTTTTATGTAAAGGTTAAGACTCCGTCCAACAAAAAAATGGGCAAAACATAGCTGGAGCCGGGTTGGTGGGGAGACCGAGTGCTATAATAAGCAATGAAAGGACCATTGCCTGTGATGCTGATGTCTTCAAGGATTCAATTTTCAGCCCCTACTGGGGTAGGGATCAGAGTCAGGTGAGGGTTAAGGATGGCAATGCTGGCCTGGTGCACCAAGTGCCCAGTTCCATGAGCCTTCAAACCTTTGACCAGAAGCGTCAGCAGTCCATGCAAGCCCAGAGACAGTCCCTGGTTGCCTGGCAGCACCTACCGTCAGGCGTTCCGTCGAGGGCTTTCGCCATCCAGATCCCAGGGGTGGTGTCGTCTCAAAAACAACTTTTAATGTGAACTCTACAGGGGAAGAAAAAGAGGGAGTGGCAGCACCATTTTGAAGGCCCCTCTCCCTCTCTTACCCTTTGCTGCTGGAAGCTGGAAAGGCTGTCTTGTGCCCAGAGTCTGCCTGCCATTGTTCTTAAATTGGAAGATGACAGGCAGGCCGCTGGGTGCTAATTAGCTGTTGCGGTGAAAATCACAAAGAGTAACCTTTCCCCACACATTTGGTGGGGGCGATCAAAAACCCGTAGGGATAATCCTGCCCCACATCAACGTTGCCTGAGGCAACAGATGAAAGGGAGAAGAGGCTTTGGAAGAAGAGTCAGACTGGACTCGAAAGGATAACTCTGTTCCTCTCTCCATACATGCTGCCAGACGTGCAGAGTTTCTCCAGCATTTGCTTTTTTTCATTTCGGATCTTCAGCATCTGCAGTATTTTGTTTCTGTCTGTGTGAAACAGCACAGTTTCAGGTCTGCCACTTCACTTGGTTACCCTGCCTTGCACGAAGGGGCAGGAGATGGACACGTGTTGGGAAGAGAAGGTAGCAAGAGTGGGGGCAGGCAGGACAGGACAATAGCCTTTCTCATGAAATGAATGATATCTGGACTTCAAGGGTTAAGTTATGAGGCAACATTATTAGGCCTGTTTTCTCTAGAATTTAGGAAGGTTCAGGGGTGATCTGATCAAAACTTCCAACATATTCACAGGAAAAGACCAGTTAGATAAAGGTAAACTATTTGTACTGTTTGGGGATTCTAGAACTAGGGAGCATAGTCTGAGAATTAGGGTCAGACTTCTTGGGAGAGATGTTAGGAAGCACTTTTACACACAATGGGTTGGGAGATATTTAGATCTCTCTTCCACAAACAATAGTGGATGATAGATCGGTTGTTAATATTACATCTGAGATCAATAAATTTTTGTTAAACAATGAAGGGATGTGGGCCAAAGGCAGGTATACGCAGTAAGGCCACAGATCAGCCATTGAATGGCGGAACAGGATCGAGGGGTTGAATGGCCTCCTCCTATTCCTATGTTCACAGACAGGAAAGACAACTGGATAGGGCCTGCCCAAGATCCATTCCCAACAATCCCAAAGAGCTGCCATGACACAAGGAGTACAGGATCGAGTAACTCACCGAACAGTGTGACTCCGATGGCCTTGAACTTCCCTCCACTTTTGATGAGGTTGAGACTTCCTAGGAGATTGAGAGAATAAGTGAGCTGTCTCGATGACTCAGCAAGTTAATCCCATGTTCTCCTGGTTAACACAGGGGAGTCCTGGAGACTTCCAGGGTAAATTTGGATCAGGGATGGACAAGACTTGGGAGCTTAATGTTCCAGGGCATAGATGTTATAGGAAGGATAGAAAGCGGGGTGGGGGGCAAGAAAGGATGGGGGTTGGCGTTTTTGATTAAGGAGACTATTCCAGCTGTACTTAGGGATGATATGCCTGGGAGTACGTCCAGGGAAGTTACTCGGGTGGAACTGAGAAATAAGAAAAGGAATGATCACCTTATTGGGATTGTACTATAGATCCTCCAATGGTCAGCAGGAAATTGAGAAGCAAATTTGTAAGGAGATCTCAGTTATCTGTAAAAATAATAGGATGGTTTTGGTAGTGGATTTTAACTTTCTAAACATAGACAGGGACTACCATAGTGTTAAGGGCTTGGATGGTGAGGAATTTGTGAAGTGTGTACAAAAACATTTTCCGACTCAGTTTGTGGATGTACCTACTAGAGAAGGAGCAAAACTTGATCTTCTCTTGGGAAATAAGGCAGGGCAGGTGACTGATGTGTCAGTGGGGAGCACTTTGGGGCCAGTGATCATAATTCTATTAGTTTTAAAATAGTGATGGAAAAAAATAGACTGGATCTAAAACTTAAAGTTATAAATTGCAAGAAGGGCAATATTGACAGTATTAGGCAAGAACTTTCAAAGGTTGATTGGGGTGGATATTTGCAGGTAAAAGGATGTCTAGAAAAGGAAGCCTTCAAAAGTGAGATATCAAGAGTCCAGAGACAGAGTGTTCCTGTTAGGGTGAAGGACAAGGCTGGTAGGTGTAAGGAATGCTGGATGACTACAGAAATTGAGGTTTTGGTCAAGAAAAAGAAGAAAGCATATATCAGGTACAGACAGCAAGGATCAAGTGAATCTCTAGAAGAGTATAAAGGCAGTAGCAGTAAAGTACTTTAAGGAGGAAATCAGGAGGGCATAAAGGGGACATGAGATAGCTATGGCAAATAGGCTTAAGGAGAATCCAAAGGGATTCTACAAGTGCATTAAGGACAAAAGGGTAACTAGGAACAGAATAGGGCCCGTTAAAGATCAGCAAGGCCACTTATGTGTGGAACCACAGGAGATGGGGGAGATACTAAATGAATATTTTGCATCAGTGTTTACTGTGGAGAAGGTTATGTAAGATATAGAAAATGGGGAAATAAATAGCAACATCCTGAAAATTGCCCATATTACAGAGGTGGTGGTGCTGGACATCTTAAAACGCATAAAGGTGGATAAATCACCGGGACATGATCAGGTGTACCCTAGAAGTCTGTGGGAAGCTAGGGAAGTGATTGTTGAACCCCTTCCTGAGATATTTGTATTGTTGATAGCCACAGGTGAGGTGTTGGAAGACTGGAGGTTGGCTAACGCTATTTAAGAAAGGTGGTAAGGAAAAGCCAGGGAAATATATACTGCTGAGCCTGACATCGGTGGTGGGCAAGTTGTTGGAAGGGATCCTGAGGGACAGGATTTATGTGTACTTGGAAAGGCAAGGGCTGATTAGGGACAGTCAACATGGCTTTGTGTGTGGGAAATTGTATCTCTAACTTAATTGAATTTTTTGAAGAAGTAATGCAGGGGACTGATGAAGGCAGAGCAGTGGATGTGATCTATATGGACTTCAGTAAGGCCTGTGTTGAGCAGTGTGCCACAAGGATCAGTGCTGGGTCCAGTGCTTTTTGTCATTTATATAAATGATTTGGATGTGAACATAGGAGGATTGGTTAGTAAGTTTGCAGGTGACACTAAAATTGGAGGTGTAGTGGAAGGTTACCTCAGAGTATAACAGGAGCTTGATCAGATGGGTACGTGGGCCGAGGAGTGGCACTTGGAGTTTAATTCAGGTAAATGTGAGGTGCTGCATTTTGGAAAGGCAAATCAGGACAGGACTTATACACTTAATGGTAAGGTCCTGGGGAGTATTGCTGAACAAATAGAACTTAGAGTACAAATTCATAATTCCTTGAAAGCGGAGTTACGGGTAAATAGGATAGTGAAGTCAGCATTTGGTATGCTTGCCTTTATTGGTCGGTACATTGAGTATAGGAGTTGGGACATCATGTTGCCGCTGTATAGGTCACTGGTTTTTAGAGAACCAAGTGCATTTTTATAACCAGTGGTTACACGGTCACCATTACACCAGACTTTTTTTTTGAAATAAGTAAATTCGAATTTCACCATCTGCTATGGTGGCAGTTGAACCCATGTTTTCTGAACATGTGGCAGTAAGAACTGCCAATGCTGGAGTCAGAGATAACATCGGAGGCTGGTGCTGCCTGGCCTGCTGTGTTCCTCCAGCTCCACACTGTTATCCTCTGAACATGACTCAGGTTCCAGGTTACTAGGCCAGTGACATTACCACATTCTTACACCACCACGTCCCGTTTTAGAAACCCTTCAATCAGGCCCAAAATACTCCACCTACTTCTTCGGTCATATCTTGCTCAGGTCCACTCGGAAGATCTCGCCCAGTGCCCGGTTCCTTGGCCGTTTCCTGTTGGTTCTTCTTGTTGTGGGTGGACATGTCATTCAGCTGCTTGAGATTTTCCTTCGCAGCTGGCAGAGACTCTGTCTTTCTCTCGCCCGTTTTCACAACCTCCGTGGGTTTAGCCCCCATTTCTGCAATATTTTTTTAAAAAAACAGCATTAAAGGAATCGTCTTGTCTGGGGCTTTGCGATTAGTCCCAGCCCCTCCTGTTAAATTGGGACGGAGGAGTCAGTTTTAGGAAAAGGAAGCTTGGAAATACCAGAATGACACAATGGATCAGTCAGCATCCAGGAAGAAAGGACAGCGCAGATCGATAAATACATGAGCACCTTTACAGGGTTGACCAAAATCCACAGGACAAAACACTGGGAGAGTGTGGAAAACAGGGAATTGCTTGGGGTGTATAGATTCCATTGCGAGAGTTACTGAAGTCAATCAGCTGTCTCTTTCTGGCAAAAGTAGGTGAGAAATGGTGGATGATGTACATGGATTAGCTCAGTGAGACAACGAAAAAGGCAGAAAAAGATACACAGGAATAAGAGAAACTGCAACTGCAGAAAATCTGAAATCAAAATACAAATCAGGATTACTGGTATGTTAGGAACAAAAACAGAAGTTGGTGGAAAAGCTCAGCAGGTCTGGCAGCATCTGTGAAGAAAAGATCAGAATTAATGTTTCGGCTCCAGTTCTCCAGAACTTTTATTGAATGGTATGTTAGTTTTATTGTTAATAAGCACAAATGAAGGGCATTGTTTTATTAGGAACTCACGGAGGGAGACTACGGCACCAGCACTCATTTTGTTGTTTTTTTGAAGTTCATTTCAGTGTGTTTTTAGGGCTCCCACAGCCACTAGGCTGGTGTGTGTGTGATCAGTCCCTATAATCTAATTTCAATTAAAAATCTGAGGTTTGCTTTTGGGGATTTTCCCTCATTACATTGCACCTAGAAGTGGCGGTCAACTATTCATTTTGCTTACAGGAACGAAAATAATAGTTACTGGAAAAGCTCAGCAGATCTGGTAGCATCTGTGAAGAAAAATCAGAGTTAACGTTTCGGGGCTGGTCACCCTTCTGTTCTGAGGACCCAAAATGTTAACTCTGATTTTTTTTCTTCACAGTTGCTGCCAGACCTGCTGAGCTTTTCCAGCAACATCTGTTTTTGTTCTTGATTTACAGCATCCGCAGTTCTTTCCGTTTTTGTTTACTTTGCTTAACTTGCTTTGAATGGATTTTATCAAAATAGTATAAAGGAGGCTGAAAATTCCTATTTCACTTTTTTTGAGGCACCTGCTTTTAAATCTTTGTTCAGCCCCAAGCTACTGATCTTTGGGAAACGGTTAAGTTGGGGGACAATCTTGGGAGTGTGTCCATGGCCTGGCCAAGGTGGTGATAAATAGGTCCTGGCAGTAGGCTGTGGAGAGAGTACTAAGACATTATTACCTGCCTCTGTAGTTACGTCAGTGCCCGGGCGTGTCTGGAGAGAGTGTGCACTGTCCATGGATACACTCAGGCTGTCCATAACCTGTGGGTACTGCAGGGGCTAGCATGTGTAATCTGCTACCACAACCCGATTTTAATTAAAACTTGTCAGCTTCCTTTTGGGATTTGCTTTTGTTAGTGCTCTTTTTAACGGACTGTCACTTCCTTATTTAGTTTCAATTGGTTTCATCAAAAAAAAATACAAAAGAGATACTGGACAAAAGATTGTAGTCAGCTTCTTGCGGTTAGTATCCACATCTGTCACATGTTCAATTCCCCAACAGCAGCAAGTGTCTGTTACAGTGCCCTTTAAGCCAGTTTAACTTGGCACAATTTGGTTTAATTCGGGTTTCATTGTTTTAATTGATTTATTAAAAGATTGTATCCAGAGGTGCGTAATTCTGAACAGGTTGATTAGAAAACATCTGACTTAGCAGGAACCTGCTCATGGATTCTGTTGATGGGCAGAGACTGTTGCCCTGGTGCTGCCACACAGTTTGGGCAGACCAAGAAACTCACTCTTTCTTACTGCCTACCAGAGGGGCATTGGAAATAGTTATAGATTCATAATCAACCTGTGTGGCCACATAATAACACAGCTTCATAGATCCTGAGGGGTTCTTGAACCTGGAGCTTTTGAAGCAGAAGTGGGCACGGCTACCACTGCACTAATTAATAGTCAGAAGAGAGACAGAAAAGGGAGAGAGACAAAGACAGAGAGACAGAGAGAGAGAGAGAGAGAGAGAGAGAGAGAGAGAGAGAGAGAGAGACAGAGGCAGAGAGAGAGAACAGAGAGCAACAGAGGAAGAGACAGAGAGAGATACAGAGAGACAGACAGAGAAACAGACCGAGAGAGAGAGAGACAGACAGACACACAGTAAGAGATAGAGACAGATACACACACAAGACTCCTCCTCGAACCTGAGTGATAGCCTGACAAAGACCAACAAGGGGAAACCTGTCATGAATCAATGAGAGTCACAATAAGACAGGAGTACAGTCTGATCTTATATACAGGAAACAAACTAAAAAGAGAGACTGAAGAAAAATTTTTAAATATACAATAGTGAAATGCCTCTTCAAAGAGAGGAGAGAATTCTACACAGTTCACTGGGAATTGCAATAATTCTGATTGCATCTCAGAAAGGAGCTTGTTCTGCAGAAGGGAACAAGCACAAAGATGGCCTGTGACTCCTGCCTGTAATTAAAATGAAAATGCCTGTTTTTATATAGAAATTTGCATAACCACCAGAAGTCCCATTGTGCTCTCACAGCCAATGAAATATTTTTAAAGTGTAGCCACTGTTACAATACAGGAAAACTTAGCAGCTAATGTGTGCACAGCAAGCTCCCACACAAACAAAGTGATAATGACCAGGCCAACAGTTTCTGATCAGGCGGACTGAAAGATTAATATTGGCATTATCACTGGGGATAACTCCTGTACTCTTCTTTGATACAGTGACCTCATCTTCTTTCCACAACCATCCAAAGAGGCAGACAAGAGATTTGGTTTAATGTCTCAGCTGGAATATGGTGCCTCTGACAGAGCACTGCTCCTTCAGCCTTGTTTTCAAGCCTTTGAATGGAACATGAACCCAGAACCTTATGACTCAGAGAAGAACGTATTACCAGATGAGCTTCGGCTGACCCTGAGGCTTCCAAATATTTTGAAAATTTGTGTATATAAAAAGGTCCAAACCTACAGGTTTGAGACAGGTGTGAATCCTTTGTCTATGGGAAAGAAGGTATTGCAGGATGTATAGCTTCAGGATGCTCCCCTTTCCTTTTGGGAACAACAGTCTGGATCAAAGTGCTAAAGGGGAGGCCTGTCCTCATTCGGTGTCTTGATTAATCTCAATCTTTACCTCAATGCCCTCCTTCCCCTCCAGGACTTGTCTTGCTTCATACTGGGGCTGACATACAGCATATATTACCCTCCATGCCTCACAGCAGAGCACAGTTCGGGAGGAGGAATCCCAGATTATTTATTTCACTGTATGGCCATTCGGCCTACTAGTCCATGATGGTGTTTATGCTCCACTCCAGCTTCTTCCCACCTTTCTAACTCTATCATCGTCACGCTCTAATCTTTTCTCCCTCACATACTTATCTTGCTTCTCCTTGAATATGTCAATGATATTTGCTTCAGCCACTTCCTGCTGTGGTGATTTCCACATTCTCACCATCCTTTTTCTTGGTGACTATCTCATATCAATGGCCACTAGATATGCTCTTCTCCTTGACAGAAACAATTTGTTCTTCTGTTTCCTCATGACTGATGCTAATATCTCCTCTCTGCTTTTAACTGTTTAAACATTTACTTGAGCTATTAAGGACCCAATCTCCTAAACTTCTGATGCAAAGATGGATTTTCCCCGTGATCAGAGGGCTCTCTCCCATCAAATCTCAGCTGTCCGGCTCAATCCCAAACTGGGATTACAGTTAGTCAATGGCAAGCCGTGATGTCAGTCACTAAGGTCCAAAGCTGAGGAATTCCCTCTCTAAAATGGGAATGGAGGGTTTGAGGTAAGAAAGTAGATTGGAAAGACTGGGATAAGTGTGGAGTTGGAGGAACACAGCAGGCCAGGCAGCATCAGAGGAGCAGGAAAGCCGACGTTTTGGGTCGGGAACCTTTTTCAGAAAGACTGGGACTTTTTTCACAGGAGAGTAGGAGGTTGAGTGGTGACCTTATTGAGCTTTATAAAATCATGGGGGGGCACAGATAAGGTGAACGACATGGGTCTTTTCCCTAAGGTGGGGGTCTTCAAAACTAGGGGGCATTGTTTAAAGAGAGAGGAAAAAGATTTAAAAAAGGCACGAGGAGCAATTTGTTTTTAAACACACAGTGGTTTGTGTGTGAAATGAACTTCCAGAGAAAGTGGTGGATCCAGGTACAGTCATAACATTTAAAAGACATTTCGTTGAGTTCACGAATAGGAAAGGTTTGGAAGGATATGAGCCAAGCGCAGGGGGATGGAACAAGTTTAGGAACATGGTCAGCGTGGATTGGTTTAACTAAAGAGTGTGTTTCTGTGCTGTATGACTCCATGACTCAAAAGCTTTCCACTTCTCTCTTCCCTCCTTTAAAAGGCTGCTTAAAACCGGCCTTACCAGCCTAGCCTTTGATTGTACATGCTAATGTTGCCTTAAAACAGCTTCCATGCTATATGACTCTAAATCAAGAAGAGGTGGTGGCCACTCGGCCCCTTGAAACTGAGTAAGCTCACACTCGATCTGATCATTCCACATTTCCACCTACCCTCAATAACCTCTGTTCATTAAGAAACTATCTATCCCTGCCTTAAAAATATTCAAAGGCTCTACTCCCACCATTTTTTGACAAGGAAAGTTTGAAAACCACAAGACTCTCTACAAAATAAAAATTCTCATCTTAGTCTGAAATAGTCAGGCTCTTATTTTGTAACAGTAAACCACCGCCCCCCCACCCCCGTTCGAGAAAAGTAACTCTTAGTTGTAGAATTATACACGTCTTCGCGTCAAATTCGGTTTGATTAGCACCGTGGGATATTTTACCTGATTAAAAGCACTACACAAATAGAAACTGCTGTTGTCATCAGGCCCAGCCCTTCAAAAATCAACTCTTCGAGACACCCCAGGTTTTCTTTGTTTAAAACTGACCCATGCTGCACTTACCTTCCTAAAATAAGGATCATTAAGTTCCTAACAGGGGGATTGCATAACGTCAGAAACAATACACGACAACCCGAGAGACTACGCAAAGAATTTCAGCGATAGCACAAGACAGCTGGCTAATTTCATCAAATTAAAAGTTTGGAAGTGGTCAAGTACATTTTTTCTTAAAAATTGAACAATGTAATGCTCCCGCAGTATTGCTTTGGAGGGTCAAGCTCAGAATCAGAGCCTGAAACTGTTCTTATGGGGTGTGAAGCCACGGTGCTCAGATTACAAAATGAAAATCGGCAACAGAAAGACACCCTAAACAAGGACTAATTTAAAACAAAAGGAATATAAAATCTCTTTGCTAACTAAAGTGTAGGTTTGAATATAAAGAGGTGTGCAAAAACTTGACAGACGGAACGTAATGTGAGAAAATGTGAGGTTATGCACTTTTGCAGGAAGAATAGAGAAGCTTATTATTATTTAATACAGAAAGGTGCAGATCAGAGGAATTTGGCAGCCCCTGAATCACAAAAAGCTGGCATCGTAGTTCAGCAGGTCATAGGGAAGACAGATGGAATGGTGACCTTTACTTCAAAAAGGGAATGACATATAAAAGTAGGAAGGTAAGACTATATAAGGAGGTAGTCAGACCCCAGCTGGAATACTGTGAACAGTTTCAGGCCCCTTATCTAAGGAAAGATAGACTGGCATTGGAGGCAGTCTACAGAAGGTTCACTTATCTGATCTAAAGTATGAAGTTCCTGTCTTATAAGGAGATGTTAGGCCTGTACTCATTGGAATACAAAAGAATGAGAGGTGACCTTATTGAAATATGAAAAATTTTCAGGGGACTTAGTTTATTAATTCACTCATGGGATGTGGGCATCTCTGGCCAGGCCAGAATTTATTGCCCATCCCTAAATCCCCAGAGGGCAGTTAAGAGTCAACCACATTGCTGTGGGTCTAAAGTCACCTGGAGGTCAGACCAGGTAAGGATGGCAGATATCCCTCCTTAAAAGGGCTTTAGTGAACCAGATGGGTAATTTCCGACAATCGACAAAGGTTTCATGGTCACCAACAGACCCTTAATTCCAGACTCTTTTTATCAAATTCAAATTCCACCATCTGCTACAGTGAGATTTGAACCCAGGTACCCAGAACATTAGCTGGTCTCTGGATTAATAGTCTAGTCTCCCCTTACTCATCAGGATAGATACAGGAGGGCTGTTTCCCCTTTGTGGGAGGGTCTAGGATCAGAGCCATCATCTCAGAGTAAAAAGCTCTGAATTTAAAACAGAGATGAGGAATTTCTCCTATCAGACGCTATCGCAGAGGATTGCTGAGGTCATTAAATATATTCGAGGCCAAGACAGATTTTTAATCAGTACAGGATTCAAGTGTTATCGGGAAAAGGCAGGAAAAGTGGAGTTGAAGGTTGCTGAGACTATTGAGTAGAAGAGTTGGGACGTCACACTGCAATTGTACAGGATGTTGCTGAGGCCACTTTTGGAGTACTGTGTACAGTTCTGGTCACGCTACTACAGGAAGGATATTATTGAATTGGAGAGGGTTCGGAAAAGATTTACAAGGATGTTATCGGGACTGGAGGGTTTGAGATATAGGGAGAGGCTGGAACAATTTTCACTGGAGTTCAAAACCAGGGGGTATAGGTTTAAGGTGAGAGGAGAAAGATTTAAGAGACCTGAGGGGCAACTTTTTCCACACAGAGGATAATTCGCATATGTAACGAACTGCCAGGGGAAGTGGTGGGTGCAGATACAGTTAGAGTATTTAAAACATGAATAGGAAAGGGATTATGGGACTAGTTTTGTTTGGGAAACTTGGTTGGCCTGGACCAGTTGGACCAAAGGGTCTGCTTCTTTTCCGTACGACTCTATGACCCTGTTATCAGATCAGCCACGATCTCATTCAATGTTCTGAGGAAGGGTCACCGGACCCGAAACGTTAACTCTGTTTTCTCCTTCACTGATGCTGCCAAACCTGCTGAGCTTTTCCAGCAACTTTGTTTTTGATCTCATTCAATGGGCCCGCTCTGCTCCTACATTTAAGGACCCTGTTGGGTATTCACACTTTTCAGGGGACTTAGTTTATTAATTCACTCATGGGATGTGGGCATCTCTGGCCAGGCCAGAACTTCCTCTTCCCTCCACACCGTCCCGTGGTTCCGTGCCGTGAGAGACAGCGACACAATCACAAACTCCGTGGCTCTGCGTCCGCTAGACAAACCCAGGGGCACGGAAAGGCGAAGGGAGGTGGGGTCCTTACGCAAGTGGTTTCTCATGGCGGCCATGTACTGCCCAATCATGTCGGAGCACTGCCTGCCCATGAGTTCCGCTATCTGCTCGTGGTCCCTCCACAGTAAGTAGCCGGGAGTGAACATAATGTCCTCGATCTCCTCGCGGTCTTTGCCGAGCCGGCACAGCGACTGTTTGGCCTCGTTCCACATGGACAGGAACTCCGCCTCGGGCACCCCCATGTAGCCGTCTCGGGTGACGAGCCGTCTCCGTAGGTACAGGAGGCGCAGCAGGCTGCCGGACTTGGAGGTGTCGTCGGGTGCGGGCTCCACCTTCCAGCCTTTCCGCGGCTGCGGGAAAGATTTGATGTGCATCATCAGAAAGACGATGAGCGTGACGTCGTACTTCTGAAACTCCAGCAGCGACGACTTGGGCGGGTACAGCAAGGCCCAGTCCGAGTGGGACAGGAAGTTGGTCTGGAACTCCCGGAAGTGACGGTGCAGCTCCGGCTTCTTCAGTTTCATCATTTCCGCCTGCAGCTCGCTGACCGGCACCCGCTCGGCGAAAACCTTCTGTGCCGCCCGCGTCCCCTCCAGGATGACCAGGTACATCAGGCGGAAGAAGTTACAGTATGAGTTCCGCTCATCAGCTGGCAGGTCCTCGCGTCTTCGGTGCCTCTTAATCGGCATGTACCTTTTAAAACGAGGTATGTAGCCGTCGCCTGGAGAGAACAGGAGAGAACGGCAACTGTGATTATGGACTCGGCACCAATAGTAGCTCAGGCTGCATATTGAATGAGGCCACTCGTTCCATTATGCCCCCTTTGACAGTGTTATCCAAACGACTGGAGTGCAGCAACAGGGACGTCTTGCTGCACCTGTACAGGCTATTGGTGAGACCAGTGCGCAGTTTTGGTCTCGTTATCAGAGGAATTGTGTTCCACCTACTGAGGGAGTGCAAAGGTGGTTGACCCAACTAATCCCTGGGATGACAGCGGGAGGCAATGGCCTTGAGATATCATCACTGGATTGTTAATCCAGAGACCCAGGTAATGCTCTGGGGACAAGAAGGGTCTAGGCCCGAAACGTCAGCCTCTCTACTCCTATGATGCTGCTTGGCCTGCTGTGTTCATCCAGCCCTGCACCTTGTTGTCTCTTTGCTGGAAAAGCTCGGCAGGTCTGGCAGCATCTGCGGAGGAGAAAACAGAGTTAACGTTTTGGGTCCAGTGACCCTTCCTTAGAACTGGGGAAGTTCTGAGGAAGGGTCACCAGACCCAAAACGTTAATTCTGACTTTTTTTCTTCACAGATGCTGCCAGACCTGCTGAGCTTTTCCAGCAACGTCTGTTTTTGTTCCTGATTTACAGCATCCGCAGTTCTTTTGGTTTTAATGCTCTGGGGACCTGGGTTCAAAACCCGCCACAGCAGATGGTGAAATTTGAAATCAATTTTAAAAAAAAATCTGGAATTAAGAGTCTAACGATGACTACAAATCCAATATCAGTTGTCAGGAAAAAGCCATCTCATTGACGAATTAAAAACCAAAAGAACTACAGATGATGGAAATCAGGAACAAAAACAGACATTGCTGGAAAAGCTCAGTAGGTCTGGCAGCATCTGAAGAAAAAAAGTCAGAATTAACGTTTTGGGTCCGGTGACCTTTCCTTAGAACTGGGGAAGTTCTGAGGAAGGGTCACCAGACCCAAAACGTTAATTATGACTTTTTTTCTTCACAGATGCTGCCAGACCTGCTGAGCTTTTCCAGCAATGTCTGTTTTTGTTCCATCTGGTTCACTAACGTCGTTTAGGGAGGGAAACTGCCATCCTTATCTGGTCTGGTCTAGATGTGACTCCAGACCCAGAGCAATGTGGTTGACTCTTAGCTGCCCCCTGAACAATCAGGAATGGCCAATAATGCCCTCATCCCATAAATGAATTAAAACACAAAAAAAACCCAGGATTGACATATGAAGAGAGTCTGGGTGAGTTAGGACTATATTCAATAAAGCTTAGAAGAATGAGTGGTCTGACAGGATAAGATGGGTTGATGCTGGAAGGATGCTCCTCCTGACTGGAGAGTCCCGAATCAGGGGTCACAGCCTAAGAACAAGACAAAGATGTGGAGGTATTTCTTCACCCAGACAGTGGTGAGCCTGTGGAATTCTCTGCCACAGGAAACTATTGAGGCCAGAGCACTAAAGACTTTCAAGAAAGATACAGATATAGTTCTTCAGACTAAGTGGATCAAAGGACATGGGAAGAAAGTAGGAACAGGTTACTCAGTTGGATAATCAGCCTTAATCATGTTGAATGGCACAGCAGGCTCAAGGGACCAAATGGTCTATTCCTGTTTACATACGCCAACATGAGGAAAGACTTTTTCTTTTGTGATTAGGAGGTAAAATTTACTGCAAAATTTACCCAAAATGCGGTGGAAGAAGATTCAGTTGTGGCCGTGAATCAGGAAATGGACCACCATTTGAGGACATTGAGTATAGGAGTTGGGAGGTCATGTCGTGGCTGGGTTCAGAAAAAAATTTACAAGGATGTTGCCTGGGTTGGAGGACTTTTGAGCTATAGGGAGAGGCTGAATAGACTGGGGCTATTTACCCTGGAGTGTCAGAGGCTGAGGGGTAACCTTATAGAGGTTTATAAAATCATGAGGGGCATGGATAGTGTAAATAGAGAAGGTCTTTTTCCCCAGGGTAAGGGAGTGCATAGGTTCAAAGTGAGAGGGGTAAAATTTAAAAGGGACCTAAGGGGCAATCTTTTCATGCAGAGGGTTGTGTGTGTATGGAATAAAAAACCAGAGGAAGTGTTGGAGGCTGTACAATTATAACATTTAAAAGGCACCTGGGTGGATACATGAATAGGAAGAGTTTAGAGGGATATGGACCAAATGCTGGCAAATGGGACCAGATTTATTTAGATTATCTAGTCGGCATAAAAGATTTGGACGGAAGGGTCGGTTTCCATGTTGTACAACTCTATGATTCTATGAAAAGGAAATATTTACACTACGAAGTGGAAGCGGTACTCGGGAGTCAGTCTTGCAGAGGGCCAGTTTGAACTCGATGGGCTGAATGGCCTCTTTCAATGCTGTAACCTTCACGTTAACCCCACCGCCCTGTCCTTTACCCTTCCCCTGCCCCCCGCCGCGCTATTCTCACACTGCTACTTACGCAGCTTTTCAAATTCCTGCTGGAACTCATCCAAATATTTTTTCAGTATCGGGAAAGATCCTCGCTCTTCTTCTAAAAGGAAGACAAACTCAGCTTTCTCCGCCGCCGACTTCATGTAGACTATGACCTCCAACAGCCGCTGACCCCTATGCATGGGTGCAGTCTTCATTAACAGATCATTCTCCACATCAGTCAGAATATTTCGAGTCTGCAGACTGTAAATAAGATCTCTTAAAGGGAGGCCACTCAACGGCTCCGCCAAGACTTCCAAGTACAGGTACAGGAAACTGTCAGCACAGCTGTTCCCTTTAAATGAAAACAAAGTCAATAGCAATTAGCATTTACATGGACAGTTAGTGTTAAACCCTGGACTTCTGCCTAATTTGATACCATAAAAACAGAGTCAACATTTCCCCTTGTGTCACTCTATGGCCTGACTTGGAGCCCTGTAACCTAAAGATTCAGAGAATCCTTTAGTACAGAAGAGGCCCTTTGGCCCATCAAGTCGGTACACAAAAATACACTGCTACCTACAATAGTCCCACTTTCCAACACGAGTCTTGAATGGTAATGGCACCTCAAGTGCACATCCAAGTCCTTTTTTAAATGTTGTGAGGTTTGCTCCTTCCTTCCTGTCCTGAAGGCGTTGACTCTTACTTGAGTACAGTTCCATCCGAGCCAGGCTCACTTGGAACAGGCCGCGTTGTTCTCATTGTGAGAGAGTCAGACATGGAAACTTTTACTTGGAGGTGAAGCTGGTACTTCCGCAGAGACTCCAAACAAAGCAACCTGAAGAAGCATCTCCTAAAGCTTCTGAAATAGTAAGAACTGCCGATGCTAGACTCTGAGTTAACACAGTGTGGAGCTGGAGGAACACAGCAGGCCAGGCAGCATCAGAGGAGCAGGTG